AGCATGGCTGCTAGGAAGCGGTAGTGGCAGTCTCGAGAGGGGAGGAGGGGCCTAAGAATAGTGTTTTTTCGTAGCTAAAGGAACATTTTTCACTTCCAACGGATTGCTGGAATTTTTTGTAAATAATAACAATGGACTACTTGAACCATGAAGAGAGCGCATCACGAGTGATCCGCTGTTCACCTTTACCATCGTACCCAACTGTTCACTATTGTTCCCAGATACCAGCGGCGCCCGCTCCGGTCCCATGATTACAAGGCACTCGCCGTCTGCGAATGCTTAGTGTCGTCGTTCTCATCGCGCGGTTCTCGTTCCTAAATAAGCATCCTGGTCTTTGTTCTTGTACCTCTTGTTGGTTTTTTTTCCTGTTCCTGTTCCCGTAACCTGTTCCCGTAACCTTTCCCGCACCTGTACCTGCCCCTGTTCCCACTCCTGTTGCCGTACCTGTTCGGAGGAACCATTCGAAGTGAGATGGCGAAGGTGCGTGTGATGATAAAAGCAAGCGGGTATGTGTACAGTATATATTGGGACGCGGTTTTGGCCAGAAAAAGCTGCTTATGCAACCACGCGTTTGCTCTGAACGCGTCCCGTCCGAAACTTTTGAAGTCGAGACCGGACATCGACCAGTGTCATTCAGGTTCATGATACTGGGGCGCAAGGCAAGACCGCCAATGGATATGCGTTGCGATGGATGGCGCGGCATGGCGCAGAGGGTGCAAAACAACAGAGGGATGAGTGACGGAGTCTCCTGAAACGCCGTTGGCTGATTCGAAAAACGGAAAACCGGGATCCTATTGAACTCGGATCACAGACAGAGAAATGTCAAGGAAATTAATGCATGTGGATACTCGGCGTTTGATACCTACGTTTCACTGAGTGGAAAAAGATGAAGGGTGGTGTATGTACAGTATATGTATGGCATGTCCGAAGGCACGTTTCCGGTCCTGCTTATCCAACACGCGTTTTTTATTTTATTTTTTCCTAACACGCGTTCCTTGTGAGCTATCCCCAGGACTACGTGTACATATACACGTCGGCCTTGCGCAAAGCCCACGAGATAGTTTGAAGTTTAGACTTCCAACTCATCCGAGTTTGAATTCCTGTACTAAACTGTCATATCAATGTCGATGTCCAGCACAACACGAAAGAAAACCAATAGGAAGCCTATGGCTCCGCCGCCGCTCAATGGGCAAAACTGTCCCAAATTCAGAGTTGTTCCGCAGAGTTTGTTCCCAGAGTTGTTCCGCATTTTTGCCAGCGCACAATTTACCATGTTCGTCCCCGAAGATCTGCAAAATGTACCATGGCGGGATTGGGACGTGCTAAGAGCCATCTGCCCAGCCGGCGTGCTTGGCATTGTTGTTAGGGTTGAGAAGCTTCTATGATGATGTCAGGCCGCCCCGACTCCCCTCCTCAGATCCTAGGCCCACCGATCTCAAACGTACGCTTTTCCGGTAGCATTCTTGGCTTGTTTGGATTGTCCACCCACAGTCCAGATATTTGGGTTAGGCGAGGGCGGGATTTCGGGATCCCCTTGCCCTTCAGCACTCCCTTGAGCGAGATTTGAAGAGCAAGCCGGTGACGGCCTTTTTCAGCATCTACAGCATGCACCTCGGTTAGCGCTCCGTACATTCCGCGTTGGCATCGTCCAAAACTTACCATTTTCAAAGACTGCACGTGACCTTCCTGAACGAAGTTGGCGTGCAAAGTCGTTATCCAGTTCGGGGAGCATTTATCCATCGTCACTCTGCGGCACCCGTGTCCGTGTCCGTCTTCGCCGTCCGTATTACGATACTGTTTGCAATTTCGGAGATGTGCAACCCAAACCACCCCAATCTTGTCAACACTCGTATAATACTTCCAAAAAAACACTCTCGATTTAACCTTACCTTCTACTCTGAGCCATCGTGCTTCTGAAGGCTGAGTGTATGTACATGTAAACAGCACTGTAGTTGCCTGCGCTAGAATTCCGTAGTGAACTATGCATTTCCCGAAGTTTGACGCGAAACTGACGCGTAAAAGCCTCAACGACGACAGTGAATTCAAATCAATCAGGATGCAAAAAGACCGCGCCGTCTCGGTGCCTCCATGGAGGAGACCTGCCTTCCACTCGCTCCGCTCATTTTGTTGGAAGTGTTGTGGGTTTGGTTTCCACTTGGCGCCTCCGGATGGAAGACAACTGTTCGTGAAGCTGTTGTGGGGATTTCGGCAGCAGGAATGCGGTAAGTAACGGTGCCAACCACTCTGTGTTCTACTTTCTACGTGACATTCACATTCTGTACATGTCGGCCAGCGTGTAATGGTGGGCGACGTTCTGGGTGGCTATCGCGGAAGTGGTGCTGGCGGCAGTGGCGTACTATGTGGCGAAGGTTCGCTTCGAGGTCACCAATCCCTTTGCGCTTGGTTCCACCACCACCAGGGCTGAGGGTCGCGGGTTCGATGGTCGATGATTTTCCATTCGGGAGTTGACCTGCCCAGACATTGGGACACCAGGCGGCCGGCAATTCTTTTGTCCTTGTCGCCGAGGTCGCCGAGGTGTGGGAGCCATCGGGAGTTCACGCCATAGCCTTCTCAGGTGGACGCCATGGGCTTCTTGAGTACTGACGCGTGAAATTCGCCGACGATGGAGGTTCTATAGATCTACATCGGGAAGTTGAAAGAAAAGCGTAAAACCCCTCTCTGTTCACAGGATGACTTACAACTGTTTGTTGATGCAGTTCAAAGTTGAGTGTCGGCGCTGGTCTCACGTCGAAGATATCCAATCGAGTTGCCTTGACGCGAAAGTCACGCGTCAAATCTGTCGATAAAGTCGAAGTGGAGCGAACGAAAAACAAGTGTTACGTCTTTCCGTCACGGCTGGAAAAGAGCTTCTCCGGGTGTAGCGTCGAGGCCGGGGGGTGAAGTCGTAGGTGTATGGTTGGATACATGTGGGTGAATGAACGATGTACCCATCGTGATACAGCTTGCTTCTTGTAGGTGCGGACCCAGTCACCTTGCGTTGCATTCCGTTTGGTCATTTCACGTAGCCCAAGGTACAGTCACCTCGCATAAAGCTATGGCCCCCCATGAAATAAATCAGCGACTGCCACAAAGCCAAATTCACGTGAGTGACCAATATTGATTTCAATTAGAGAGGGGCAACAGCCTTTTGCGAGGTGACTGTACTTTTTGGCAAATGGTTGATCTCATGGCAGGTCGAAGTGTACAATTGCGATGTTTGACGCAAAACTGACGCGTGCGTGAACGTGATATTCGACCCTCTCGCTCCATAGGGTCGCCAATGAGCGCATTCGTGATTTGCAATTGAGGGTGCGTCGAAATTCCCGAGTCGAGATCCGTGACCGTGAAAAGAGCATGGTAGCAGGGAACGGCGGGTATGCGTTCGATCGAACTGGCAGGTGACGCTTGCCGGGACGAGGTGAAAAACAGAGGGAGGAAAAGGGGGCTGCTGCTCAAAGGCAGTCATTCCGCTTATGTAAGACGCGTTCTTCCTCCGCAAGACGCGTCAATTCTCACTCTCGTCGCATATGGCGATTTCGAAGCGCCATCTGGAAAGCCAGCGTCGGCTGCTTCAATTGATGGTTCCCCCCCGACTGAACGGGCTGCTGCTTCGGTACAATGAACATGCCGTGCGTCGCTGGCGCTTCCCCTCTTGAACTTTGAGGCTGTGGCGCGGGGGCGGCAGGCAGCCAGGCCGCACCCAACTTCCCATAAGCCTCGTGGCGACATCTCCAAAATTTCGACGCGTGAAAAAAAAGACCGACGATCAGCAATCCGAGGTCGGGATCCGAAAATGACAGCCTTATAGTCCTGTCCCCTCCATGGAAGAAAACCCGCCATCTTACTGCATATCTCGCGTATTTCGTTCAGGAACAGAGCTTGGGCAACCCGATGTCGAAAATGGCGGACACCGGAGGGCCTAACGCGAAACTGACGCGTGGGAACTCACAGCCGATGAAAGAAATCCGCAAAAAGCCCCTTACCTGTTAACGGGGAAACCATGCGGGTGCGACCTGCACATACCCATAGTCCTTTGTTGCGATGTAAGATGGGGTGTGAATGCCCGAAAAATCGGTGTCCATTTCGACCGCCGGAACGACGCGTAGAAACAACCAACCCATGATCGAGTGCCGAATACGTGAATCCAGTAAAAGCCCCCCGTCATACCCACGCGTATCCCATGTCGAAACTCGAATTTGCTGCGGTTCAGCTGTTCTATTGGTATGAGCGAGCCCTAAGCACCCACCTGAGCAACTTGCGATGTCTGTGATGGTGTTCGTGAGGGTCTCCAACGAAAGGTTGATGGTCGGGCGGAACCTATGCTGAAGGGAGCGGGAAGACCACGATTCACTGGAGGATGAGTCCCTACGTACTTCTAGATGGGGACCGCGGGAGCGAAGAATGAGACGAGGGGTGAGGAAGAGGAATGAGGATGAAAGATAAGGAGCGACGGAGGGCCGTTTGGGTTTACATCCGCCGGGATGGATGCCGGACCCCCCCGGTGTATCGCTTATGCAAGACGCGTTTTCCTCCGTCGACCCATACTCGCATCACGGTTTGGGAGGGGTTTTTCGTTGACACACTCAGAGTGGGTCCATTGTCCTTCTTGAATCCAAATTATTTCTATCCCACCCCACCCGATCCCACCCTCCAACAAACCACACACAAGCCCAATGAACCACAACCAAATTAAAAAATACAATGTTCACAGTCCATAAACAAAATATTCCAAAACCTACGGCAACAAAAAAGATGTCCATGATACAGTAGCCAAAAACTGTCACAGCAATAAAGAGGGGGAGGGGAAGTGTGGGAGGTCTAACACATGAACACACGAGGAGGGGGGAAAGTGGTCCTGCGGGGTGTCCAGATATTGCGTCACGCGTCAGGGGGAACTTTTCCGGAGGGGTGATGTGACTTGGAGGCCATACGCCGGTCCCCGAACTCCAGTCATCGAGTTCCCGTCACACACAATGCGGGGGGGAGGGGGGGGGGGGGGGGGGGGACTTGCTAAAGTTTATGGATGGTCCACCGAATCGGTGCTGTCGTTGCTCCACCCCTCACCGTTCGTCAAAAACGGTTGTTTCTCGGTCGCCAGCGGTTCCTTTCTGTGGGTGGGTCTCTCACGTCCGTATCCCTCCGCCGTCGGCGACCCGTGCTGCTGCTGCTGCGGGGTCGGCACAGCCGTCTGCGGGGTCAATGCCAACGGCAACGTCAACGGCAACGCGTTCGGCGACGCGTTCGTGATCGGAATCCGCGTCGTCTGGCGTATGGACGGCGACGGCGACAACGGCGGCGGAGTCGCCTGGCGGGAATTCGGTCTTCGGTTGTGGTTCCCCACCCCCGTCAACGTCGCCGATTTCGCCAGCACCCCATTCACCATCGGTTCCACCGCGGCGGTGGTGGTCACATCCCCCGGCTGCTGCACCCACAGACTCTCCTCGCTCAAGAAATGGCCCTTCTCGTCTAATTTCCGGCGCCGCTCGCCGACGGCTTTCTCCACGACCCCCAGTAACGCCGCCTTGGTGAACGGCTTGCTCAGGAAATCATCCATCCCGGCATCGAAGCACCCATCGCGATCCGTCTTGAACGCGTTGGCGGTCAGCCCGACGATGTAGAGATCCATGCCCTTCGCGAGGCGGCGGATTTGCTTGACGGCCTCGAGACCGTCCATGACGGGCATGTTGACGTCGCAGAGGAGGATGTCGTAGGGTGGGTGTTCGCGAACGCGGTCGACCGCCAACTGGCCGTTGTCGACGGTGTCGACGTGGTATTTTTGCAGCATCCGGAGGACCATTTTTTGGGTTACGAGGTTGTCTTCTGCGAGGAGGATGCGGATAGGTCGTTGTTGTCGTTCGTGCGGGGGCGGGGTGGGGAGGAGAGGTAATGGGGTCGTGAGGGCGGTCTGGGATTTCTGGGAGAGGAGGGTGAGGTTTGGGTTTGTTCTTGATGTTGTTAATCGGGGTGGGTGCGTGGATGTGATTGGGGGCAGGTGTTGGACGGTTTGGACGACGTCGGCGTGCGGGAAGGAAAAGTTGATGAGGAAGGTGGAGCCTTCGCCTTCTTTGGAGGTGACTTTGACGTCGCCGCCCATGGCGCTAACGAGCTTTTTGACGATGGAGAGGCCGAGACCTGTGCCGCCGAAGCGTCGGCTTGTTGATGCTGGAATAACGACATTCAGCCATCACATTAATACGAACAGCACGAATCACCCAACTACGAACCATCAGCCTGACAAAACGGATGAAACAACTTCGCCAGCGCCGTCGGCGACATCCCTATCCCACTATCCCTCACAGTGAACGTGATATTCTCCCGCGCAACCGGCGGCGACGCCTCGGTCTGGCCGTTCACCCCGTTCATGCCAGGGAAGGGCATGGCTGGTATCGCGGGCATTTCTCGGTAGTGCTTGTTGGAGACGTGCACATAGCCGCCTGGCATCGTGAACTGGAAAGCAAGACTGATTGGGTACATGCCATACAGCGCGGAAACTCGAGCTACTGTATGTAGCTCGCAAACATACCTTCAACCCATTACTGATAAGATTAAGCAACACCTGCCTAATCCGCATGGCATCCGCCACGACCGGCGGCCCCTCATAACTATCAATCTTCAGCTTGACATCCTTCCCCAGATCCTTCACAATACAATGCACATCCCTCAACAATTCACTCAATTCCACCGTCCGCAACTCGAGATCCACCATCCCCGCCTGCAATTTCGAGTAGTCGAGGATATCGTTGATGAGGGAGAGAAGGGTTGTAGCGGCGCGTTTGGCGTTGCCGTTGTACTCGCGTTGGATTTCGTCGAGGGTTGTTTCTTCCATCAGTTCGACGTGGCCGATGATGGATGTTAAGGGTGTTCGAAGTTCGTGGGACTGCCAACGGATAGAGGGACGTTCAATAGGCGTACTCTAGCGGGGATCAACTGCTCATGTACGGAAAAAAACACTCACCATTGTCGCCAAAAATGTGTCCTGCAGATATGAGAGAAGGCGGTGTCAGCGATAGTCCGTTCATTGCGAGACCCAAATGAGGCCAAGCGTTAGTAGGCCCACCTTATGTTTACTCTCAATAAGAGCCAGCTCCTTCGCCTTCGTCAGCTCCCTATTCCGCATAACCTCCGCGGTAATATCCTGACTCGTCCCCCTCATCCCCACCACCCTCTTCTGCCCATCCAGCACCGGCTTCCCAAACCCCCTAATGAAAATCTCCTTCCCATCACTCTCCCGATGCACGCGCTGGATCAAATGATACGGCTGTAGACGCTCAATCGCCTCATGCACGGCGCTGAGCACATTCTGTCGGTCCTCCTCAGCGACACACGCGAGGTATCGGCAGAAGGGTATCGTGTGCTCGTCGTCGTCGTCGACGGCGATGCCGAAGATCCGGAACCATTCTTCGCTGGCGGTGAGCCATTTCATCCCGTTTTCGCGTTCTTCTATCTCCCAGTTGCCCATGTGTGCCATTGCTTGGGCGTCGGCGAGCATGTCCCGCTGTTTGGCGACCAGCGCCCCTTCGCGGTTGAATTGGATGATGGCGTCGACGCTGTACGATAGGACCTGAAAAAAAGAAAAAAAAGATAGTCAGTCAGCCGCCGAGTCTGCCGAGGTTCGAAACCGCGCAGATCTCCAATCGATGCATGAAGCGGAGGGAGCGAAGCGAAAGTTGATTGGATGGTGACGGCAATCTTGCGCCCTTGGCGCAACGTGGTGCTCGCTTCGTTCGCAAAAAGATCTACCGCTCGCTGAGGCTCGCTGACAACCGTAGCTAGGGGAGTATTGCGCCGTCGGCGCAACGTGACTCGCCGCTCACTTTCGCTCGAGAAGGCGTTCGCTCTGATCGACCTTGCTCGCTACCGCTCGGTCACCCAGAGCGAACCAATGCCCTTCGTACGGTCGGGCGGCTCACTCGCTTACCTGCGGAGAGAGAATCGCAGTTACCGCCGAAATGAACGCCGTAAGGTACCGATCCAGTATCACCAACGTCACAGGTGCCCTCAACGCATCCAACAGATGTCCGACCCCACATAGCATAATAAAACAAATAAAAAGCGCTCCCACCGCCTTCTGATACGTCGTAATGTTGGGCAATCGCACAACAAAGAAGGCGAGCTCGATCGGGATGGCCCAGTAGGATATTGCGATGATTGCGTCTGCGATGGGTGCTGTGATGTGTTTGTGGGTGATGTAGCCGGAGGAGTCGGAGCAGGAGTCGGAGCAGGGGCAGTCGGCGGGGGAGGATGGGGCTGCGGCGGCGACACTGAGGTGTTGGGCGATGTTGCTGCTTACGTCTGGGAGGGGTGCTCTTATTGCTACAGCTTGGGTGAAGGATAGGACACAGAGGCCAGCAGCTGCTGCCAGAAGGACGGACGCTGGTGCCCGCCCTTTTGACGTGAAGGTCATTGCGCGGAGGCCTCAGTTGCTGGAGTAGCGTTGGTTGACGTGTTCAAGGACGGTCGGCGGTTGGGAATGCGCTTCAGTCGTTCCGACCAAAGCGTCACAGGCACGCCGATACGTTGTGAGGAGGGAGTGTGGCAGCAAAGGAACGGGAAGTGTTCAGGGTCCATGAAAACGGGGTTAATTTCAAAACGATAGCAAGCGAACAGCAAGTTTTTCTGAGAAGGTAAAGGCAAAGGTCAGTGTGAGGGAAACAGAGTGAGGTGGTGGATAAGAAGTGAGTGTGTCCAGTCCAGAGACTCAGAGAGTCCAGTCGCAATGGGGTCCTGGTCCGAGAGCGAGCGAGCGTCCCTCCTCCTCCTCCTTCTCCAAGAGTAATTTCATGATTGAATTGGTTGTTGCCCGCCCTTCGACACGCTCGCCCCCCCCCTCCGTGCACCTCCGAGGGGAGACAGAGTAGTAGTGACCGCCATACCTTCGCAGTTGAAACACCCAGTCTCTCTCTCAAATACTCGCTCCAGATTCTCTCCAGACTCTCGTTGGAGCGTCACCACGACAAGACGGGCTACACCTGCTCGTCCAGCTCTGCTATATGCTCCCAGAACAACCCCACTACTAACTACGGACTCCCTGCGGGTCGCCATTGTAACACCTAAACCAAAATCAAATCCCTTTGGTCATCACATCCCCCGTCTGCTAAGAATAATGTAGGGAATAATAATAGCCCTCACGGATTCGACTCGCCCCTCCGACACAGGGAACCTAAAATTCACTACCCTGCCATGGAACACATCCGCAAAATCATTCTCGATCGGTCTCGATTGGGTTATATTACATTGCGTTCCGTAAGGTGAACCTTAGCGACTTGGCGACGCCCTTGGCACGGCGGATGATTGTCATATGACGTCGTAAGCCAAGCACACAATACGATAGAGTTACACGTATTCGTATTTGCGTTTCGATGCTTTTGGGAGCTTTCCAAAACTGACATGCAAAGCGTGTGAGCGCAAGAAACTTCCAGACCTTTTCACCTACCTCCGCATCCGTCTCGGGCGTGGGATGAAAGACAGACATGGACATCGTTTTATGGCCTATCGACCGCGGCGAAATGCCAATTCCGTTCTACAATTTCGAGCCGATACATACTAGTGGAGTAAGGCACCTCGAAGGCGGATGTCAAAACGATGCTGGATCCAGTTCGCCGCCTTGACTCTAGCACATCGGGAGCTCTAAGACATTCATGACCCTAGCCGCGCCTCAGGGCATGCGACCCATGCCCATATTGCTGCTGCTCACATTGCCATATGGTTTCTGGAAAGCCCATCCCAGGCTGCATAAGGTGTGGATTTCAGTTGTTCTGACTTTGAGCCCAAAATCGACAGTGCTGTCAACGGAACGGCACAAGTCGCGCCATTTGCTGAGCTCCCAACTTCTCCAACTTCCAACCTTTCCACCATCTTCAACACATCTCCGCTACACTTCAGAATCACTCCACCAAGCAAAGGTCAAATCTGATACGTCGACCCTAATACGCCGCTTCGAAGAGGTCCGCTAGAATGCTGTGTCGGCGCAGGACGATCCCCTACATGCCCATCCTCCTCACGCTGCTGAGCCTCACCGTCCCGCCCCCAACCACCGCCTCGTGGTTCCGTAACGGTGCCAAAGAAGGAGTTGGGCGGGTGAATGGACGCCTGGGGTATGGGTTTGAGGGTGGTGACCGGTTTATGGGCAGTGGGGAGGGGGAGGGCAGGGGGGAGGATGTTGAGGGTATGAAACTCTTTCTCTGAGCGCGTGGGAAATTTGATTGGTTTGTACTGATATGTGATTCCCGCCAGATATGCTTGACGTTGCCTTCCGTGGCCATCTCACACGGGAAGCACGGCTTGCCATTGAACAGGCTGGAAGTATGAGAGCAAATCTTCTGAATTCCCTCAACAAACCCAGAGTGGTAAGCCCTAACGTTTCTCACCCTTCCATCCAGGCAAACTACAGCTATACGAATCCAAACCAGGCGGTTGTTTCAAGCATGCTGTAGCGAGTGTGAAGAAAGGATGTGAGATGCTGCATGTGCATGAGATAGAGAAGGTTCGATGTAAGCGGCGATGTGATTTCTGCGGATTGCGTCAACATCGAATGCTGAATTTGCGATTTGAGGACTTCAGACGCCGTGGACTTGACGCTGTGCGAGATAGCCACGGGAAACATCCCGATTCCTGCAAGCTGCCAGGCGGAGAGTTATCAGACAGATGTTTATGGTTGCGTTGAGTATGTACTGCGGGAAGCTGTGTGGCGGCATCTCATGCACATGGGCCTCATGCTTTGCGTTCACCCTGTCTCAGGATGCTCTCCCACGTCCCACAACTCTGGACCTCCTACTCCGGCTACCTCCGCGAAGTTGGTAAGCACACTAAACCGTCGCGCTGTATGAACTCAAGAAGGATGCTAACCCATTGCACCGCTCCCAGTCAACATATGCTTCGCAATCCAATACGAATCCCACCAATCGCACATATCCCAACTCTTCGAAAACGTCACCCTCCAACAAATCACCAACCTCCGCCTGCTCGTCAAACACCGCAGGGAGATGAAAGTGTGGCACGGCGATGAGATGGGGCGGTTGAGTGCGTTGGAGGGGTTGCAGAGGGTGTTGGTGGAGAGGGCGGGGGAGATTGAGGTGGGTGTGAATTGCATTTGACCGGGTCGGCTGTCGTCCTTGACTGATTTGAGTGCTGAATTTGAAGGTGTCCAGTAAACGCACGGCGGAAACGACACGGGATCTAAACGCCAAGATCGACGAGTCGCTATCTTCCATCCAGGACGTGCTTTCCATGCAGACGGAAGCTCGCGACGTCGTGGAGGTGGTGCTCAGCGACACGCGGTCCCTCTCGGATCTGTTGGAAACTGGTGCAAATGTCGTCTCGGAAGTAAATCATTGAGACCGACATGGCCCGGCATCTGATGTGATCAGTAATCTCTATACCTGTCTCATCCAGAGTATGCAAACGATGGAAACGTCGCTGAAACGCGTAGAAGGCACCGTCGGTAAAATCTTGGAGCAGGAGGACGCGACGATCGCTCATATGCTGGATTTGAAAGCCCAAACGACGAGTCTCGGGGACGCCTTGCTGGAGAAATCTAAAGCCATGCTTGAGGTACGGGGGAATATCCCCAATTCTTTTTGCGCTTCGACACGAGATAAACTTGGGAGATTCAGGATATCACACAACTGGACACGCATTTAGCTCGATCGGACGAGGAATTAGGCAGACTGCTCAACAATCATGCGCAGATGATCACGGGGCTTATGAGGACCGTCAGCGACCTGTATGAGCATCAAGTTGACATGTTGTCGAGCACGACCGATGGCCTGGCAGACTTGAACCAAACAATGTCCCGCAACCTCGCCATCCAATCCACAATGCACGCGAACCTCCTCTCCTTCCAGGACTCCCATGACACATTTGCCCACGCCCTAAACACTTCCTTCGCCCGCGCGGAATCCAACCTGGAGACGCTATCGACGCGGTCGGCGAAACAGATCGAGGCGTTGTTGGACGCGAGTGAGGTGGCGAATGAGCGGTGGAGGGAGGTGACGGGCGTTTTGAGGCCTTTTGCGGGGTTGCTTGGGGTTTTGCATGGTGGGTGATGGTGTTTCGGTGTTCTCTTTTTGGGGGACTTGGACTGGGGCTCATGAATGGCGGTTATGTAGGGAAGGTTAGGGACGCGATGGTGTATCTCGCAATCATCGGCACCACACTCCTCGCGCTGCTGGTCTCAGCTATCATACCCTCGCGCCAAAAACGCGTATTACCTTTCGTTCTCGGTAAGTTTCCGTTTCCCGCGCGGATAATGTCCACTTTCTCCTTCGATAACCCTTTCACCGATTCAAAGTCGGAGCATTCACATGCACCCTTGCGACGATGCTGCCAAACCACGTCGGCGACACCCTTGGAGTAACGCCTGCACTCACCATCCACATGCTTCTCCTAATTGCGCTCTTTCGACCCATGGGAGGCGGCAGGCGTAAGGACCGGCCTGATGATGAGTATACAGACGCGTATGCAGCGACACGGCGTGAAATGAGGGGCGTGGAGGTGGATGAGGGGTTTGCGTTACCGTTCAAACACAGGTGAGAGTCTTCTTCACTACATATTCCCATAAGGCGACCGCATTTTATTCCTTATTCCCCCACTTTCCAGCAGCCGACCCGCTGCGTCCGCTTCTACATTTCAACCGCCTTCATACTCCTCTTCATCACCCGAGTCCGGCGACACATTTACCGACACGGTATTTGAAGGCGGAGTGCTCTTTGCGTCGACTATCCGTAGGGTGGCGACGTTGACTGCGTTGAATGATAGGGAGTCGGAGGGGCGGGTGGGGGATGATTGGGGGTGGGGGTCGAGGGCGGGGGCGTGAGGGTGGCGTGTGTTGATGCTGGAGGGGGGTTTTGCAAGGGGGAGATCGAGGAGGGCATGGGGAAGAGCGGCGTATGTGGGGGATGAGTGAAGCGGCTGGGGATGAACCTATTCTGATTTTTTGACATGTTTGTATATGGCATGTAGTTCGTTGCGGGGTTTAGGTGTTGTTTGGGTTCAAGTTTCATGTTCGTAGTTTGGAAAAGACATAGGCCCAACACTTGGATCAACGAAAACTTTCATCAACATCTCAACCTCAGGTTCAACCAAGAACCTTCAGCATCATCCACAATCAAACATCCAGTTCGTCTCCCCTACATATTCACGCCTTTCAACCATTTTTTTACAACCTGCTATACCGGCCAGCACCATAGGATATCCCTCGACCGCGATGAAAACCGAGCCTCGAAAAAAAGCTCATGCAGACGTTTCCAGCCGGCGTAGCCGTATGCACCCAGAGCCGGTCCAACCTGATGATCGCGCGCCTTCTGACGTACCCCGTGTGCATGTGCAGTTCGTCCAGCTGCCCCCGCTCTTCCCCTGGTGGGTCTCCCAATCGTTTTCCGGTCGTTTTCCGAGGGCGATCCGCATCTGAGAGGAGAATCGCGTTGCAAGGAGGGCCGTTCCTGCTGACGCGTCTCGCGTTCCCGTCACTCTCCGCTCCCTCCTGCCGCCCTCCTTCGTGCCTCCTCACACTCACCTGGCTGCACTCTCCTTGAACACATTTGCTCGCCTCAAAAGAAGCTGTAACCGCTGCGTTGTCCCTGCCAGCGTCTCGCTGGTTCCGGACCTCGGCCGCAGGGGACCAATCCGTGCTCCGATTGCCATCCGCACGATCAGCCACACCTCGCGCACCGGTCGACCGACGCTCGAAGCCCACAGCATGTTCGCAATGCGGCTTGAACCCCCTCCCGGACGACGTCTGGCTCATCCTCGCCAGGCCATCGACCGCTACAAGGCATCTGTGGGGGCCGTCTGTACCGGCGGCGTGTTCGATCCACGGAGGGTCTCGGCAGCTTTCGGGACGTGTCATTCCACCGTGCGTCAGGCTTATCTAAGCCCCGACCCGTGAGGCCAGGTAAGGGACATTCCGGTTTCTCCCGGATGGGGTGGCAGGAGAAGCGACGGGATGCATGGAGAAGCGCAGCAGGGGAGGAATACGGATAACAGCCGTTCCAAGCAGACAGGAGAGTGCGAGGGCTCGAGAGGGGGGAGATCGACACATACGGGTGTGGCAGCGCGACAACATATGGGGGCGTCATCTTTCTATTTTGCTTCCAGTTCGACCCCCGGGAGGAGGGACAGGCGGATGCGTGGAGTTCCTGTGGGCGGACACGGGGGAGCGGAGGCGGAGGAACAAGCGGCTAGGACTGCCCCGCCGCAACGATGGGTCACTTCTGGTTTCTGGCACCTTCGATCCGCGAGTGCCGTACTGTACACAAGATAACAATCTGAAGACTTATGAGAGCGAAGTGAAGGGATCGCATTGGGTCAGTGGGGATGGCTTGTGGCCGTTCAGATGTGCCAGCAAGCCTGAAATGTGGGAATGCCCGTATGCGTTTGTCCACATTGAATGGTCTGCATCGGATTGCGTGCGATAGACCCATCAGGTGTCAAATGCGCCGTTCCCATCTGTCACTCACAAGCGGCTCGCACCGTATATAATATATAGGCGTGTCCGCCACTATGGCACGGGAAGAGATCCATCCTCGGTCTGCATGCAGGGAACACTCCATCTAAACTGCCTTTACTTGGCGATAATGTCCTTGCCATCGTGATGTTACACATTCTACTCTCCTCTGACAACACCGATACATTTTCGCTGTTCACCTGGATTGGAGTCGCGCTGTCGGGGTCTGCATACATTCCATTGAGCTGCATGTGCAGCACCTGGAAACATGCTCGGGAACACGCAAACAAGTTGTGGGGGATTCATAATGATTAAGTGCGTCAGAAACATCTATACATGGAATAATTTACAGCGGTCCCGCCACGTACATCGGAACACCACGAGGGACGTGAAGGCAGGCACAGCGGACCGAACAAGTTCTACACCATTCTAGACATCCATTGCATCCTCCCCGCCGTCGACATCCATCCCACCCTCCTCCTCACCCCCCAAAAACGGTTCTATCTCCGACCGCAGCAGGTGCACAGCATGCGTATACATCTCTTCCTCGTTCTCATTCCCCTCGCCGTCCCCATCATCCATCCCCTCCCCGTCAGCAGCCATCGCCTCCTTCCTCATCTCCGCCAGCCGTTCATAAAGCTGCATGAAATGCTCAAAACATTCCGCGGCTTCATTCCACAGCTCCTTCTTGCGGTCGTCGGCCACCTCAACGGCGGGGCCGGCCACATCGCTGTCGAGATCGTCGTTATCGTAATCGCCGTCCTGCGGCACGGCCCCGCGTCCGCCGCCCATGCGGTACAGGCAGTATCCGTAGAGGTACCACAGTTCGAGGTCCTCGTCGTTTTCTTCTTCGATGGTTTTGAGGACGGCGAGGGCCCGGTCGTGCATGGAGAGTTCGAGGAGGAGTTTGGTGAGGTTGATGCGGGCGGGGTAGGGTGGGATTGCTGGTGGTGTGGGGTGTGATGGTGATGATGATGATGAGGCTTGTTGTTGTTGTTCGGATGCGAGTATTGGTTGAGGAATGCTGTTGATCCAGATGTCCATGCTCGTCTCTAGGGACTTGCGCGCATCGTCTGGTCGGCATTGCGACATGCGGACTGAGGCGAGGGTTTGATGTGCTTCTGGGTTCTGCGGGTCTATCTCGGTGGCGCGCTGGGCGTATGATTGACACTTCGATTCGGCCTCTTCGAAATCGCAGCAGTCTGTCATGTAGATTTCGGCCATTGAGCACAGGGCGTTGGACAGTTTGCGGAGGAGGAGGGATGTCGCTGCTGATGTTGACACGGCGGGCGTTGCTTTCATGGTATCTACCCCGGCTTTTTGCAGAGCGACAGACAGCAAGTTCGCTGCCGAATCGTAGTACTCGAGCGCTACCTTTCCGGCGCTTAGCTGGCCCAGATAAAGGTGTGCCTCATAGATCTCGTCAACGACCCACCCGGCTTCACCCCACAGCCGCACAGCCTCCAAAAAGTACTCTCTTGCCCGGATAGCGCAGTTATGCACTCTCGTCTCTGTATCCAGGTCCCGCTCCTCTTCATCAGCTACATCTTCCGGATCGTCATCCTCCCCTGCTGCATTCATCCTCTCCATTTCTACAACACCCAGCTGCAGGAGGACGTGGGGGTTTTGTGGCGAAACGCTGTATGCTCGTAAGAGGAACTTCCGGGCCAGATTCGGATGACATGCATCCAGCGCCTTTTGTGCATGGGCGAGCAGCGCAGGTGTCATGGTTTCGGAGGTGAAAGGCTCCTCTTGTTGTTGTGGTTGATCTTTCGACATTCTGAAGAAAAGTGTCGCCCGACCCGGACCGAGATGTGTCGTTGATATGGCGCTGCCGTGGGGGTATTGATCCGACCACTAGTCTCAGCGTGGGGGGTCCCTATGCTGCGTGTCGTTCCTGCAGTGGTGCCTGCCTTCAAGTCCAGTCAATTGTAGCAGGAAGAAACTCGCAAGAGGGAGAGTTGAGGGGGGGGGGGGTGTGCATGTAGCCGCGCAAGCCCCGTCGACGCCACCCCTGCGCCGCACATGAAGTCAGTCAGTCATCGGCAGAGTCACAGGGAGATCCCACTCGAAACTGTCACGAGGGTGGGATACATTCTGTCAGTCTCCACACCCCCGCAACCGCCTTCCGCAGCGCTATTATAGGACAGTAACTTTGGTCCAGCTTCGTTCCCTTGGACAACAACGGCACACAGGTCCGTGAGAAAATCACTCTTTCTCAAAAGGGCATAACTTAAACCCCAAACGTCCGCCTTCCCGCTCCAGCTTCGCCTGAAAAGCTCAAACCATATCGCACAGCGCTTCCAATCAGCTCTGCTCCATTCAACCAAACCTTGAACTCTAGTTTGAACCTTCTGCATACGAAAAGCAAAACAAAACGAAAACATGACATCTGGCAACGGATATCTCTCTCCACCCACTCCCTCTGTGCCGATGCCAGTGCGTCACGCTGGCCCGGGGGAAAAGCCACCTCACGACTATGGCACCACTCCCGGAGGAACCATCTTTGGAACCACTCCAGGTGGGTCCTAGGCGTTTGTTAAGAACGGCCTGCCTGCAATGTTATTGTAGTTCATGGACGGGGTCTGACACACAATCTCTCTTGTCAGGTGGAACACGCATCATCTACACAAAGGATGCACTCATGAATCTGAGTCGCTCTCCTCTCTCCCAAAAGTCACCACGAGGCCTCGCTTACATTCCTGGCATAACGAAGGTCGCCCTTCCAAAAGCGGCCGGCTCTACAGAACAGCAAAAGCCGGTGAAGGCGGCAGATACAAAGCCCGCTCCGCCAAAGGCACAGAAGGACGAGAAGGACGATTTGTTTGACATGGAGATATGATCGAATTGGTTGACTTCGGAGGAACCGGGTGGGAAAAGCGAGGGGGAAATGGAAGATCTGGGGAAACTGGACTGGTAAATGAGCTACGGACAGCGGGGCAAGACGTTCTGACTGAACGATTGCTGTCCGCCGTCAGTTTGTGGTTGTATCAGATTGAATGAAAGCTTTCATGTTTCCCTCAGACAGCAATTTTGGTGCGAAGAAGGGGTCTGAATCTTGCTTAGGATGGCATCGATGGTATCGGTTGAGGTCGGATGATGAGCAGGCTACGGGAAGTTCACATGTAGTGGGACTCGATGTATCTATATCAAACATAGATCTTGTTCGGAAGGCCTTTCCTTGCATCTCATCCGGGAATTGCAATCGGCTCCTCTTTTCGTTTATATATGTACCTATCTTGAAAGCTTTTGGATGCACCGCCAAGCTTACGAGAAGTTTGTATGTCTTGGCGTTTTGAGGTGCGTTGGGCAAAAGGGGCAAATTCCACATGATGACGGGTTGCTTCTTGGAACGTCGGGACGCTTTTCAGGCTTTCCGACCCAACATCTTTCTGGACCAACTGCTGCAACTGCGTCTCAAACCAACATCACTATCATCTAAGAACCAACTGCGAGCGTTGGTAGAGCTGGCAGGATAGGCGGGGTTTCTGTTGCGTGTCGGTGCCGTTGTTTTCCGGTAAAGTGACAAAGAACTGGGCGATGAAATGGCAACGCGGGAGGGCCATATCGCCCCACGGCGGTCGGGTTGCATGCCGAGAACAGGATCCGGCGGTCGGTGGGACGTTCCATGATCAGCTTTACAACCTCTTTCAGTTGGTCCATGCCCTGTCCTTCGTACGAGATATCGCAGTCCACATAGCGAGCCCCGAAATGCCGCCACTTAGACAGGCCCGAGATTGCCCTCCCGTCGATGCGTTAACCCGCGTGCATCCAGCGCCGCGTGACTCCCGTTCCCATCCCATATCTTAGCTGCCGTCCCGCTCGAAACCGTCGCATCCGTCTGTCCACGGATGAAAAACATGAGTTCCTCAAACACGACGCGGAGGGCGACGCGTTTGGTTGTGAGGAGGGGGAGGGTGTTGTTGGCGAGGGAGAAGCGGAAGGATGGCGGGGCGAAGAGGGGCAATGTTGGCCGGTACCGCAACGCCACCCCTCCCCCTCACCGCCCACCTCACCGCTCAACCTCCAACGTCCAAAATGCAGTCCACCGCAGCTTCACCCCCCGCCTTCCCCTTCCCCTACTCCCACTCGCCCTCCCCCATCCCTTCCCAAATCCGTACCTCCCAACCCCAACCTCCCACCTCGAATATCAATACCTCTCCCTCGTCTCCACCATCCTCGCCCACGGCACCCCGCGCCCCGACCGCATCGGCACCGGCACCCTTTTTTCTGTGAGATGCTAGCAGACAGGGGGCAGTTAGGCGAGTCAGGATTGGAGCATGTGAAATAGGTGGCGGCGAATTGGTATACCTGTTGGCGCAGGAGAGTCGCTTGCGTCTGGTGGGGATGGGCCTAGTTGCGAGCGAGCTTTTGACTCATTCTGGCCATCCTGGACCTCCTGGACTCCTTCGTGGACATGGGGCGTGTTTGAAGTTCCGAACAAACGCATTTCCCTCGCTGCTGACTCATCACGGGGCATGTGCATGCATTTGAGAAGAGGCGCAGTCACTGTCCTCGCGTAACTGTCCCCTGTCATCGACGGACCAAGCATTGCAAGCAAGGGAAAGGGCAACAAGCAAGAGCGAGGATAAAAGGAGCGCAGTGAGGCAACACTTCCCCTCAGACTACGTAAAACTCCCCATCGGTTCCTGAGAAAGAAAAGAGGCAAAAGTGAGAGACCGGATAGTAACTAGACAGATGACTTCCGCAACACCGTTCCCACACTCACAGGAGAGGCTGGACCGCTTCCTGGCCTCACTGCGCAAGCCTTGGAGCACCGAGCTTCTCTTGACCAGGGACGCCCTACACCAATTGATTCACGACCTCTGGCCCGCCGCTAAGCAAGAAGGGCAGGCTCTCGAGCGTGCAGGATACTTCCTGACCGTGCTGAGCTTGCCCACGAACGCTTTCGAAGCCGACTCCACTTCCCTAACTAGTTCCCTGACCCAACAGGTGAGTGTTTTTTTCTCGACGTGAAGAATCATGCAGGTTGCAAGCGCGTGGATTGGTCGGAACCGGTGGGAAAATTGGGAGAGGTTGGATGTGGGAGGAGTACCAGGCACCTATACACCCGAGTGAATATACACCCTGCTATACATATAATGTACATACACCTCTGTGACTGCTTGGGCACCGTCCGTTTGAGAGAATAGTTGAATCCATCCTTGTAAAAAGGATTGGCATTTCCGTCTTTCTTTCGTCCAGACGTGTGGGAGGGCGTGGCACAAGAAAAGAAGTGTGGGAAGCTGTGCAGGTGTCATCGGTGGGCACAGAGATCGAGGGGAAAGGGTATGCATGGACGGGAAGGGAATCATCGTTGAGCGCCGAATCGTGAGAGAATGGAGAGGGATCCCATTCGATCCCTCCATGCAATATATGTTGCTGGCCAGTCGACATGGGTGCAGGAAGTTGATGGCGTGAGCACAATGGCTTGATCCACTGTCTGTAGCAACGTCTCATCCACCAACGTATACAAAGTACTTCCCTGCTAAACTACATTCTCTTTTCCATCTTCTCTTCAGATCATTCAACTCGCCCAACAAGACACCGATGAATATGTACGAGCACTCAGCGCCTTCGGTAATATCCTCTCCGGCAAGCAATATCTCAACGACCGTCAAACACAATCCCTTGCGGATCAGCGGGCATCGTATGAGGAAACACAGAAGCTTCGTAAGTTTTTTCCCTCCCACCCGCCGTTGAGGTTTCAAAGTATTCTTTTACTTATATGCCCTCTTTTGATGTCTCCCAGTTGAAACCCTGGACGGTCGCTTCGGTTCCCCAGAGATCATTGCCCTGAAGAACCGAGTTTTGAGGGCTGTATACCCACAAGAATCACAATCGAGAGGCTTCAACTCGGATGGCGGCCTTGCTGGACACATCGTCACTTCGGATTTGGTCGTCGGTTCTCCTGAAGATGGTATGTTACCCAATGCAATGAAGCGTCGAACACCCGATCGTTCATTCCCACTTACAATGATCCGTATTCCTCATTTTAGTGAGCCCAAACTCTCCGAATCCTCATTCAGCAACCACTCCCAGCGCCCCTGGCGCACCCGCTCCTCCGGCATGGATGCTCAAGAACCGTGCCAATAAGATGAAGGACGCTGCTTACGGTACACGGCGCGCAAGTACCACGTCCACGAAGAAGGGCCTAATGCGACACACGAAGACCAACACGTTGTCTGTCAATGACATCGTTGAGCAGGAAAGAGCGGCGAATGAGGCGAAGAAGAAGGAGGCCGAGGGTACGTTAGATGCTACCTTGACAGCAACCTATCCTCGTTTTGAACACCAGATACTCATCCTCGTTTTCCCGTCATCGCTCATAGAAAAGAGACTAGCAAAAGAACGCAAAGAACTCGAAACAAAACAAGAAAAAGAACGCAAACAACAAGAACGCGAAGAAAAACGACTCGAGAAGATCCGCCAGAAGGAAGAACTCCAGCGACAAAAAGAACAGGCTGAGATCGAACGCAAAGCGCGGATCGACGCCGTCGCGGCCGAACGGCAACGGAAAATTGATGAGAGGAACCGGGCGGCGCAGGAAGCCGACCGTGTGAGGAAGGAGGCGATGGATGCGGTGGATGTTGCCGTTGCGAGTGATACTGTTGTTCCGGGGGATGGACGGAGGAGAAGCAGCGGGATGTCGTCGTATGAGGGTGATGCGCCTGTTCAAGGTATGTTCTTCCTTCAACAGTCGCCCCCTAAATCTCGGGAGATACTTACACACCTCTCATCCGCATCACAGCCTACAAAAAGCCCCGCACAGACTCCACACCTTCCATCTCGCCCCAACTCCCACCCCCACACCAACCCCAACCATGGAACCCACCCCCCGTCCACCACGAACACGCATACCAACAACCATCAAATACAGACACAATGCAGCTCGACAGCAACCCCTTACCCCCACCCCCACCATCAGCCCCGGAATCAGCCACAGCGGCAACGTACCAAACCCTAGTCGGCGACGCCATCCTCTCGTCGGACGATAGCGAGCTGCTGATGCGGTTTTTGGAGGGTGATTACGGTACGTCCTGCAAGAATTCCTCCCCCGTTCCCATCGTCCATCAACTAACCAACCCATTGTGTATTCCTCCCCGCACAGCCCAGTCCGAAGAAACCCGGCTCATCAAACTCGGCCGGGAACCTACCGGCCTGCGCGATGTTTTTCTGAAGTTCGATTATGCGTCGGGACGCGTGAGCAAGATTGCAAAGAAGGTTGGCGCCGCTGCGGTGGGGAAGAGGAAGCGGGTTGCTTAGAGTGCGCTTTTTTCTTGCTCGTCGAGGATGAGCGTTGAGATCAAGTCGGAATGTTCCCCCCGCTAATTAGGATACCCCCCCTTTTTCGTTTTCGGTCGGTTCTTCGGTTTGTTACCGACAACCCCTTTGTCTCGCGCCTGGGTACCACCTCCCGGGTAGTTTTTTTGTCCGTCCTTTGTTCCCTTTTATTTGTTCCGTTTTGTCTTCACAATGATATGGTTTTGTGTGCGTTTGGTTGACGCAGCTATAATCAAAAATTGCTTTTTTGAGGATCGGATGTTTCGCCTGGGGCATGATAGAGGTGTGGTTTGCATCTTTGCAAAGCTGAGTGTCCATGTCCATCCGAGCCGGAGCAAAGCCACGGCGAGTGTACATCATTCATGTTCGAGATCAAACAATAAAGTATCCTATATATACTTTGCGCTACGAAATTTTCGGGGAACCCCTAAGATCACTGTACTAATCCTACATGAGCAAAAACAACCCCCCGGCTGGGGAGGGGTGTCTCCATGCTCGATTGTCGCTCGACGTCTTCTCCTCCCTTCCTTACTTCCTACGTGTTTCGCCCTTCAGTTCTCGGTTCACCCGGCCTTGTTTCGATCGGCAGCAGCGCGCAGCAGATCCCGCTGGCGCACAGTGTTGCGGCGCTGAAGAAGATGGTCGTGTTGGGTGAGATGGAGAAGAAGAAGCCGCCTAGCATGGGTGCCAGTATTCCCGTTCTGTCCCAAATCAAGTAATCAGTTAGGGCACAACGGAATCGACCTCTGAGGAGTTTCAATCATCAACTCACATCCTCCCAACAGCACTACACCCCCCATTCGCCGTCGTCCTCACATCCGTCGGAAACACCTCCGGCGTATACGTATAAAGCGCCGCATACGCAACACTCGCCATCCCATTGATCGCCGCGCTCGACATCAACACCGCCGCTCGTTGCTCCACCACCGTGAACGCCGTCAACATCAACGCGGTGCCCATCATTGAGCCGAGCATGGTCCCCCGCCGACCGAGGAAGGGGAGGTCGATGAGGTAGGAGGCGGCGATGGAGGCGGGGATGGAGGCGGCGGCGTAGATGAGGCAGTCGATGTAGATTGAGGAGGGGGAGGTGGTCGCGAGGCCTTTGGAGGCTATGAATTTTGCGATGAAGGCGTTGAACCTGAAACAATGTTCGAGACGTGTCAGTAACCGGGTCGTACCGCTTTATTCGCAGACCATCTTACATCGTGAACCCGAGATTCAGCAACGCCCAAATAGCCAACAACAGCAACGTCGTCGTGCTATACTTTTCATCCACACATAGCTGCCTGATTATCTCCAGCCCGCTTTTGCCCGCATGCTCGAGCCCGTCCATCGTTTCGGCTTTCATGCCCTTAACCTCGTCGAGAGTGAAGTGCACGTCATCGCTTTCTGGTCTGTTGGCGTTGGCGCGCACGAGGTGGTCGAGGACGATGACCACGCCTTGGTGGTCTTTTTGGGAGAGGAGGAACTTTGGGGATTCTTTGAGGTCGAAGAAGAAGATGCGTCCCGCCTGCATAGGAAAGGGAAAGTCAACGAATGGCTTGCCCAGTTGCAATGCCGCGAAGCACCAGTACCATACCAACATAACGAGGCTGATGATTCCCAGTATTGCGACCAGCCACCGCCATGTTCCAGGACATTTGTCGCCGCAATTCCAGAATACCGCGACGCCAAGGCCGCTAGCAACTACGCTTCCGAGCGAGAAAAACACGCTCAGAAGTGTCAGGTAGCTCCGCTTCTCTACGGGGCAGAACTCTATGAAGAGGCAGCCGTCCACTGGCATCTATCCGAGGTGGTAGGCGATTGTAGGTCAGCTTTCAGGTCGCGTCAGGAAGCTATGGAGTCTTCGGACTACACGTACGTGGCCGCCAACTCCGAACCCTAGTGCGAACATGAGAGCACATAGCGGAGTGAAACCGGGCGCAACGGCTGCTGCCAACCCAAAGACAGCACTGATGGCAAGCGTGTAGTTGAAGGCGTCTTTTCGGCCACGCTGGGGAAACAAAGAAACGTGAGTCGGTGATAGAGGCTATTCATAGAGGTGGCTTCTACATACCTTATCGCTCCAAAAACCCCAAAACACGGCCCCTGTGACACCCTGATATCAGTTGACGGTTATAGTCAATGCGTGCTGATCAAGCTCCGACGGCAAAGATGCGAACTCTGACATGAAGAAGTAGCGGCGACCCTCACCAGCAAACATCCCCGCAAACACAGAGCTTGATAGAAATCCGATGTGCTGATCACTTATGGAGTACTGCGATTGGACATGCGGCAGGATCAGGGCAACGCCTGGTCCGAAGGCAAAAGCCGCGTGAGAAAGCCCTGCTTCGATTGAGCATATCCGCTGTATGCGGACCGAGCCGTTTCCAAATAGTCTAGTTACCCTGAAGCCACATGTTATCAGCCAGCCATCCCAATCCGCACTAAGAGACTCCAAGCAGTGAGTACTCCGTTCCTCGTTCAGGGAAACGCACCAACGGTCGAACGCACCAATATCAACAATGCCACCTGATATCGGCCGAATCCAATCTGCGACAGCGCGTCATCTAAAGTGAGCTGTCCGGCATTCAGTAGCAGCGACGATGACGAGGACCCGGTGGTAGCCTGGTCTAGCAGCCTGCTCCTTGGTGATGACCCGTCTTGCTCGAGATCGTTAGGGGCCATAGCTCACGGAAGACGCTTTGATTGTAGGTGGTCGATATCGGCAACAAGCTAGAAAAACGTGTTCCCGGAAACCCGCTTGTAGACACGGGGGGTCGAGGTATGCTGCCTGCTTGTGTCTCTTTCGGAAAGCGCTCTCGTGTGGAATGGTGGGCAATCACGACGAACCCAAAAGGCGAAAGGAGCGCGTGCGACATTTGAGGTCGGTCCCCGCTTTTCCCACGCTCTTCAAAAACTGGCTTTCGTCGCGCATCACAGCGTACAACCCATCCGCAAACCCGAAGCTTCCTCACCACCTACTCGAACTCCCAAAATGGCGCTCACACCGGAAATCGCGCAGAGGGTAGGTCCACCGTGATCGCCGAATCCCCCAACTTCGCCGTGCTCACAAACTCCCAACGTCCTTACAGATCATGCAAGAGGTCCAAGTAAAGATGGTAGAAACAGGACGACAGCTCGGTATCGTAAAAGCACAGCTATCGGCGAGGGAGAGGGAGAAGCGGGTGTGCGACCTCACCGTCAAGGAGCTGGCGTCGATCCCTGGGACTGATGTTAATGCTTACCGTGCTGTTGGCAAAATGTATGGAACTCCATATCATTCCAGCCTTCACAAACGAGACAGACCTAATCAAAGTCATTTCGCATCCGTAATCAGGTTCATACAAGAACGCCTGCCAACACTGATATCCGAACTGGAGAAACGTAAATCCGATTCAGAGCGTGAGGCAAAGAACTTTGAACGGGCTGCGGCCAAGCTGGAACGGGATTTGAAGGATACGCAGGATACGTGGAAGGAAATTATGCATAGGGCGCGGCCAGAGCAATGATCTGGGGAGATGTTGGGTGTAGATGGGAGGCGGCGGGTTGTGTTTCGAATAGGCGTGTTGTGGCCGGAAGCTAGGATTGTAGGATGGGTTGTCGAGGAGGCAGGTGTAAATTGAGCCATGGGTTTTCTGCAAGCGCTCGTAGCCACCCTTCTTTGGGCCGCCAGCGAGCGGAGAGCCGGATGGGAGACCTCGTCTCCCGTGTATATCATTACTGCAATGAAGAAAGCCTGTATAGATCGAACGTATAGTGAATACTTTTCTCACAGGAGGGAACATTGGCACATACGGAACTGTCTCGTATAACTGCGAAAACTAGATGCCCTGATGCTATTCCTAAAGTCGGTACTAAACTAACTTCCAAGGCCAGTCTGGCGAACCTGCCATACGGAAACATGCAACATCTCAATCCAGTCAAGGCGCCAAACCGAAGCGTTTGTCCAAGGGCAACTGCAGACGAAATGGGCCGGCCGCCGCCTTCGTGCCTCTCCCAATACGCCATTTCTCCTCCACTCCACTGCAACATCGAGGATACCCTCTCTTCCACATTATTGAAAGGCATCACATGTCGGCTCGCCTCACAGTCTTGACTCGGCGCCCGTTTTGGAGACCACATGCGCCACAATCTCCCCCACCGGCGGCTGCCCAGGCGCCAACGCCTCAAACTCAGGCGCTTGCTGGTACGCGATTTCCGCAACCGATATCAAGATATCCGCCGTCAATCCTGATCTGCAACACGACAGAACATGCGCATCAGCGACGTGCATGCATGGGTAAAAGTAGAGAAGGGCGGAAACACATACATCCGAAACGTAACACTTCCCACCGTCAACTCAAACACATGCAACCGATACACCCCATCAAACCTGACCACATCCGTAAACTTATGGTTCCGATCGCTCAGGAACATCTTCAAGGGCGCCGTGAAGCATGCGGACACCTCTGCAGGGTTCGGGGTCGGGATGAATCCGCGGGGAACGATGCCGATTACGGGGGTTACGAGGAGGAGGTTTTTGGAGGGGAAGGGGGGGAGGCAGGTTACGGACTGGGCAGAGCGTGCAAACGTAAGTCAGATTTCTTTGCTATTCAAGGATACGTTCCGAATCTAGATAATCAACTCACCGCACCTCGACACTCTCTTGCTGAAGCCCGATCTCTTCCTCGGCTTCCCGCAACGCTGTGCTGATCAGAGTCTCGTCGTCCGTTTCGTACCTGCCTGTCTCCACATCCAAAATCGATAAAAATCCCCTATTCTCCGCCTCACCACCACCACATTTCCAAGCACCACAAAAAAACGCACCTCCAGGCAACGCAACCTCCCCCGCATGACTCCTCATCTTCGACGACCGCAAGGTCAACCACACATCCAGCTGGGAATCCCTCGGCACTACATCGTCCTTCGCGGACAACACGTCCGTGATGGAGATGGTGTTGCTGTCGTAAACCAGGCCTACGAGGACGGCTGCCCGTCGGTCCCGGCCGTAGACGTCGGCGTGGGGGGTGTACGCTCGGAGGTTGTTTATTGCTACGGAAGCGGACATTGGGGCGATTGTGATCTGTGGGGGCTGGTGGTTCGCCGGTTGTTGGTTCGGCCGACGAAGTCTTGAGGTTGATTGAGGTGAATGCAAAGAGGTGCAGGTGGTCCAGCACGACCTTTGACCTGCTCCCCTCGGTCGTGGTATGCCGGCCTATGAGCTCCCGAAATGTTAAAAGTATGGGAACGCTTTCGTCCAGGAGTTCAGGCTTTTCAAGGCTCGAGTGGCTTCTTGTTCACAGGTGACATAACGGACGCGACGTTGGAACCGCTCGTCGAGGCGATAGCGAGCAGCAACCACCCTCGCAGACATAAGCAACGTTGATAGATACATAATAAGAATAACTGTACATCCGCAAAACGGTCTCCAAAAATATCTGAGCTACGCCAATCCGGACAAACACACAGCAGCAGCAGCCCCACGTAATCGCCTCAATCATAAGAGATACGCGGTCTAGACGCCGGAGGACGCCGTGCGGGTGCTCCCGGCGATGGCGCCGGAGACCTCCGCGGGGGCGGGATGTCAGGGTTCCTCCGCGAATCTCCTCTATCATGAGGGGGTCTGCCTGCATCCCTGTCGGCCCTGCCATGCCTGTCTCGACTCCTGTCTCGACCTGTGTCGGGGCCTCTGCTTCGATCTCGATGAAGTGATCGCTCCCGGTCGATTGATGGCCCTCGCTCTCTGTGGTGGTGGCCGTTACGGCGTCTATCAGGGGTATCGTGATTCCTCTCATGCCGATCGTGTTCTCCAGGGTCGTCGTGCGATCGTCCACCACCGTTTTGCCAGCGATCTTGCGGGGGATAGTAATGTCCGTTCGTCTCACGACTCGGATGGCCGGAGCGGTGTCGATGGTCGTGCCGTCGCTCGGGAGGAGGTGACAAACTTGACCGCCGCCGTCTCAAAGTCCTGGGGGAATCACGGTCATAAGAATCGCCCCCATGGCGACGTGGAGTACCTCGATCAGACACCGGTAATGGGCGGCGGGGTGTCGGTACGCCTTGTATGAGAAGCACGTCGCCGTGAAGCGGTAAGTTGGACTCGTATCTAGGAGTTGCCTCCCCTCGCCGTCTAGCGTTCTGATGTGCCCGTTCACGCTCGCCGTTGAGGCGTTCCTGAATAGCCATTTCGTGAGACTCGGGCCAGCCTGGGAAGCTGAATATACCGTAAGATATGGGATAAAACACGAACTTCAGCTTTAGGGCTGCAAACTGCAAATGCGGGTGCTTACTCGATAGTTCCTGGCTGTGCTGGTAGGGGCTCAACTTGGAAGTATTCGTGTGCCAGGGCTTCTTTCGCGGTCAGCCGCTTTGCGGGATTCACTTTCAGTAGAGCGTCCAGGAAGTTGATGGTATGGAAGTCGAAGCTGCCCCAAAATGTATGAGTTTACTGAACCTAAGGACCCACAGCTCCCATGAACATACCGATCTGGACGGTACATCTCTCGAACTTTCCGCGTTTCCTTCCGTGGCTCCAACTTCTGTCTCTCCAAAATGCTAGGAAACGACGGCCAATCTATCGCGTTAGGCGTCCCACACACCGTGAAGATCTTGTCCAAGGCCAACGCCTCAGTTCCGACTTGAAACAACGGATGCCGGTCCCACATCTCTGCGAAGATGCACCCAAACCCCCACATGTCCACCGCAGAGTTGTACTTCTTCTCTTCCAGTAAGATTTCAGGCGGTCGATACCATAGTGTTACCACCGTCGGAGTCAATGTCGTAACGGAGTTTCCGTAGGTGACATGCCGCCGGGCAAGGCCAAAGTCTCCAATCGTCAAGTGACCCCTATCGTCGACGAGAATGTTAGCACTCTTCATATCACGATGCAACATTCGGTTCTGAGTGGGCACGCAAGAAGTCAGCAATCGTAGGGAATCCGAAGCGTACTGCTCAACAGAATGTTTTCGTACCGTATGCAGATAGTTTAGACCATCGAGCATCTGCTTCGCAAATGACTTGATTTGTGCTGGGTACAGCATCACTTGGGCATTCTTCAAGAGACCGTAGAGATCATGGTCCATGTATGGGAACACCATATAGATCTGAGCTGGTTCGTATTCCGCTTCGTTTCCTACCGGAATCATTTCCCGTGTCAGAGAATGCTAGGCGCATTACAACAGACAACCGCAGTAGTTAGCTACTCGTACCTTTACTGAACGCAAGCGAGTTCAGTCTGATGATGTTCTCGTGGTGGAGAGCTTTCAGAATGATGATCTCCCGGACAGATGTTATGGGCAACTAAAACAAGGTATCAGCAATCATCCGGTTTCAAGGCAAGAACTTCACACGCCCCTACCCCTTCGTGCTTCTTGTGCACAATGATACGCTTCAAGGCTACTTTCTCGTGCGTACGCTTGTGCCTTGCCACTACCACTTCTCTATGAGGGGAGGTTTCGCGTTTAGAACACAGTATCCTTTCCACGTTGTGGGCACAAACTCGTCCCCTACCCAAAGGTGCCTTGTCCCACCTTCTCGTTAGGCTCATAGTCGTCATAGCTGTCCAGCCCTTTGTACCGAGCGATTGTCTCCTGCAGACTAGGTCCTCTATCCACTTCTACGACCGTCTCTGCCCGAGAAGGGGTGTCGAGGACTTCGGGCGTGGGAAGTCCTGGCGTTTGTCCCCCTTGTGACCCAAACCGCAGACTTGGCGATCGACTGCGGCGAGGCATGTCGTCTTCAACAAGCTCTCCTTCTTCTGTAAGCTCCCCTTCCTCTGGTTCGTCAACGCCATTGTTCGACGGTTCAGCAGGCTGTGGTTCGGTAGTAGGCTTCTCTTCTGCTAGTTTGCTGTCGGACCCGTTGGTTAACAGACTTTCTCCTTCGTCCACAATTTCGCCTTCGTCCAGTTCCATCACTACTGAGCTCAAGCCTGAACTGTACGCAGTCCGCACACGTTTCGAGTTACGTATAGAGTAAGGAACCCGGTTGCTTGTCAAAAGCAATGGGAATCGGAGACCTCAGAGAGCTCAGAGACGCGTGGAGAGAGGGATTGCCACTTGTCCTGGAAAGGTTTCTCCCACGCTCAACGTCTCCATCTTCCCGCTTCAAAGTGATCTCCCGCTCAGTTCTGGGGGACATATGTCACATAGTACACAGGCGTACAAGCACTGGCTGGCGACGTTTTCGTACTTACGAGGATTCCCTGCCTGCGCGCCCAAGATTCCAGGTATCCCGGGTCCCAAACTTCATCTCCGCAAGGTCTCCGCAACTAGCTCACAATCTTCTTTTAGGCGTAGGAGCGACTTGCGGATAGGTTGAGAACTTGGAGTAAAGAGGATAATGGACCCTGTGGAGAAAGAATTTGCGCTTATCAACGGCCGAGAGAACCGGTCGAAAGGCTGTTGGTCGATCTGCATCGGATCTATAGAGGCATTGAAGAAGTAACGGTTGCAGGAAATGCAACGCGGGACTGCAGGAAACACTACGCAGCGCTTGCCGGGAGAACTTTCTGTGGCAGATCTGCGTGCTAGTTTCAAATCTTGGGAAGCACTAGAGGACGTGTCCATACTGCCCCCATGGCGTGCCAGGAACCGTGTTCTGATTACGTCGGCGATTAAGAGCAGCACTTTCACCTGGCAGGGACAGGGGTTTGAGCAGTTTGGGCGGGGTTCAGCGATGAAGTAAGTCGGCTGGAGCTGCATCACGGGATATCAGGAAACGACCAAAAAACTGGATACGGCTTTGTTGCGCTGCTTACCGATAGAGATTCTGTGGCGGGTCGGACATCGGTGTCTGATCCGAGAGCGTAATTAACTTGGGCCTCGCTTGTCGCACATTCTACGGTCTACTTCCAAGTGTAATCAAGTCATTTTGGAATCAGTGGATGGCGACGCATTGCACGGACTGGATAACTCGCATTGCGGAGTATGGGAGCGGAGAAAAGGGCTACTTGACATTGTTTGCGGCAACCCTCACGACTTTGGAGTTCGGTGGCTGCAACAATTGATTGTGCCGATTGCCCGCGAACCTGGGCAATGACGCACGGAACGCCATACCGGTGTACTTCCTTTCGCAGGAATGGAATCATCTGCAAAATATATCCAATCGAACAATTCAGTTGCAAGCCGCGATGAATGATGCTACACGACTGTACGCGCGCTATGCTGACAACCATGTCATCCTCATGCACTCTACACGATTGCGTTCTTGGCCGAGATATCCCATATTGGTGTAGTCTGAGAATGTGCCAGCCGTGCAGCGAGTTCTCGACACTCGGCGCTTTCTATGCAACACTGCATCCGGATTTCACTTTGAGCTGGGTGCGACGTAATCTCGGGGGGGGGGGGGGGGGGGGGGGGGGGGGGAATGTGCGCTTTCTGATCTTCAAAATTCCAGAAACGTTCTTCGCAGGACTGCGAATGCATATATTCCGGGAGCCCAACGACTTTACATCGTTTTGGAAATCCGACCAACCCTCTGCGAAACTTGAACTTGCGCACATCGAGAAGATTGTTTCTTGCCAATAACGTCTCTCACGCCTCGGAGCAATCGAGTCCTTCCCGAAGGTGCTGTCACCTCGCGTGGGGAAGGTCATTGACAAAGGTGTAGGACTGGCTGGACTCGGGAATTTCTCTACGCCGGGATGTATACGAGATGTCCGTCTGGCCGTCTTGAAACCCCGAACGTCCCTCCGCAACTGGAGCCTGGCAAATGATGCATATTGTTTCGTGACCTTCTCGCCGCTACTTCTGGCAGGCATGGCGGGTAACTCAGACATTTGTCGCCACCCGTGCGAAGACTCCTCGCTAACGGTGCAAGACCGGGGAAACCGTACACCGTATGGACGGAGAACGGCGCTTTTTGAAGCGCCATCACGAAAAGCGCCGTTTTCAACAACACGCGTTTCACTGCGACCTGCCGAAGCGAGCGAACAAGTTGCACGACAACGAGATCGATCAGGAACGATCGAGACAGAGCACGAGCTGGGAGGGTGTGACGGGACACCAAGTGATAGGCCTGAGCTGTTTGCCCGGCACCAGGTGAGGAATAGCAACCATAGGGTGTCCCGCAACAACCGCAGGCCTGTAACCACTGTCCAGCTTGAGTCGATATGTCGGACAGGATTGGCTCCATCAACAAACATGGGCCGCTTGACCGCGAGTTGGACATATTCTAGACTTCGAAATACGAGGACGGGAACCGGAGCTAGGCGCTCTTCGGTTTATATATGCAACGCGATTCCGCGTTGGCTTTCATGAAAAATCAAATTGCATTGGACAGCCTTGGGACTGACATCGGCACGGAGCGAGCTTTCTACCCGGGCTGCTATCGGCCGGGGGACACATGTGACAAGGCACCAGTAAACTCGAGGCAGCCGGGGTTAACTTGACGTACTACTCGAACATCTCATTGCCACCCTGTTGTCCCCCATTACCTGCGCCGAAGTGTGCGCGCAACTCCGAGCCCTTGCCCGAGGCTTCTTCGTATCACGGCGGATAGGGCAAGCCACGTATCCCCCCGCGGCAACTTTTTTCTCAACGCCTCCCACGTAATATAGCGAATAGGTTTTTTACTTCGGTACTTGAATTGTACAACTCTTGCCGCAAAAGCTCCTTTTCATTTCATTTCATAAAACTCGTCCACCGTGGCGGCTTGCTCGTGCTTAACGCCGAGCGGCCTATTCCTCATAACAGGTCTCCTTGAAAAATTCAGGGCGACAACGGCAACATTACCTCATACTACACGCCGAAACCTGTAAGACTGATGTATTATCCGTTGATATTCGAAGGTGTTGCTGCCGCCGGATATTTCATTCCGCTGTTGTATGTATTTTTGGTTGACGCCTTGCCGTTTGGCGTTCGTAGCGGCTGTGTGTAGATGTACGGGAGGGTAGGAAGCCTCTCAGGCCGTTTGACGCAGTTTCAAATGACAGTTTTATCGGGCGAGAATCGCGCTGTCGCAATCGGAAAGTTGGAGAAAGCGAAATCGTCGGGCAGGTAGGGACGTTTGGAACGCTTACCTCGTCTCAATCCACCATCTAGGAGGCAATAGCCGTCAAACCGGTGTCGTTGCGATATGCACATCCAGGATCCCGCAACCCGGCATGTTCCCAAAAAGGGCACACGTCAAACCAGCTTGCCATATGCAGTCGGTCAGAGTCCCGCACGTCAAACTGTCCACTGGATAAAGTGCAAGACACCCAAGCAAACCCACTTACCCGGCCACAGGGGTTATGCCTCTCATTACAGCTGTCAAAGTGCATTTCCTGTATTGGGAAAGATGTTTTTGGGTGCCTGTCAAATGGGTTTGACGTGTAGTGCGACGACGACGGCGGCGATGGCCGAAGGCAGTTTTGTATAAATTCGGGGATGGGGGGGTGGAGCCTGAGTCCCCACATCAATCCAGCGCAACATCAAAGCAAAGGCAGCTGGTCGTCTACATCTGTTCTTCGAGCAACAATCCACGCAAGGCATTGCATACCTAGCATCACGCATTATTACCCCAAAACCAACACAATCAGAGAATGTGCGCCCTCCCACCCATCGCCGGCCAAAATCAACGCCCCGCATCCGGCTCCACAACCCGCAACCTCCCCGTCTCCCACTCCCTCTCCGACGAAGACATTTCCTTCCCCATCATGACAAAACATACACAATCCCCACAAACCCTCCGACCAACCGACGCCCTCTCGCTCGTTCGCAACCCGCGAACCACGCCTCTCTCCCCGCTCGCCCGCTCCATCGCAACCCAGGATGTGTCGGCCCTCAACCCGCTCGCGATGCCCTCCCCGCGAGCGCCGGTGCCCACTCCGTATAAGGTGATTTTGAGGCAGACGCGGTCGGGCGCATGTGTGAAGATCACCGTGCCGTTGCCGAAGCTGAACATGCCGCTGAAAGAGAGGCAGGCGCCGATTTGCTGTGCGTGTGGGATGGAGCTGAAGGCGTGCACCTGTGATCGGACTGGGACGTGGAAGGGAAGTTCTTTGTAGGCGTAGGATTTGGCGCACGGCTCTTTTGAAGGGCGTCGAGCAGCGTAGAATAGATATAGAGAATGCATTAGATTTCTTACAATATACACTCATCCAACGAACCAAATCGCTTGTGAATTCAGCTTTGCACAAGTATAAAAAAAAAATATGACTGCCGGTGTGCCCGTTGATAGCCGAAGACACTGAAGACACCGTTGGAGAAAGCCGTCTCCCATCGGATATGGTTTTAACGTTTCCGCAAGGAGGTTCAACGCCTTACCCGCAGAGCGACACCCGCGCATGTATCCCACTACCCCTGTCTCCCTCAGCTCAGTCAACCCCGGAACCAAGAAACTCAGCCCAGGCGAAAGTCACGTAGATCGAACACAAAAGGTATGTAATTCTCAAAAACGGCACCAACATTAAGAGAAGACAAAGAGAGGCTTTCCAAACGAACACGCACAGCGAGACGTAACAAAAATGACGAACAAAAAAGTAAAGGTCCCGACAACCAAGGGTATACCCAACACAAAGCTAGAACAGAACAAACCGGGGAGAAGACGAGCACTATATACAGGCGGGATAAGAGGAAATGACGAAAGAAATGGAGCCCGTTCGACTAGGTATAAACGTCATGACGAGAGGCCAATGCTGACAGGTTAAGTTATAGACTAGACCGTTGCGCGCGAGGAATGGTGGGGTGTGGGAGTGGGTCAAAGCAATGTATGCACAACAAGTCAGGATGTGGATGCATATCCCGTGCGAAATGTGAGAGTTCTGAGAGCTCAAAACCGTTACCGGTTCTCCACAACGCATCGGAACTTTTGAATGTCGGGCACCATGTTCTCGTGCCTTCTCAGAGCATCTTTTCTCACGAACCCTTTACCGCAGCGACCACATCGGAACGGTTTTACCCCAGCATGAATGCGTTCGTGGCGATTCAGGTCATGCTTGCGCAGGAACTGCTGGTCGCAGACGTGGCAGTTGAAGGGGCGGGTGACTTGATGGATGCGGAAATGGGAGCGGAAATTGCACAGCCTGGTGAAGTCTTTGCGGCAGCATGGGCAAGTGATCTTGCCGCACCGGTGGTACTGGTCGGCGGCGCGAGCGAGGACTTGTCGGAAAGTTGCGTCTTTGCGGCGGCCATCTTCGGAGTCGTCGGAGCGGTCGCTGTAGTATGGATGGCGACCGTCGTGATGAAGCTCGTAGTCAAGGAGATGTGGGCTGACTGACCGCTCCTTCTTCTTGTGGCGACGGACCGTCTCGCTTGAACCGTTGATGTCTCTCGTCCGACGTGGAGCCGCGGAGGTGCGAGAAGACCGACTCCGTGCGCTTGAAAATGATCGATCGCTTGACTCCTCGTTCGGGCTTGGAGGGTACGATGTCTCGGGCTCAGACGACAACGAAGTGATGGTCCTGGAGTCTTCGTCAGACGTGGACTGGTCATCGACTGAGGAGGTCGAATGGCGGCGGTGGATAGGCGCCGGTCTTGCGACATCCCGCTCAGACAAGGATGAGATTGTGGAGGAGAACGACGAGGTCCTGACGATGGGATGCGCTGAGAACGAAGGCGTGGCACCGAATTCCCGCATGTGCTTGCGCGGGTCTGAAGAGCTTGAAGACTTGCCCATCCGGTGGGAGTCTTGCGAGTGATTTGACCTTTGCTCTTGTTGGGTATGTGTTGGTGCACGATGCAGCATAGCAAGGACCATGGATGCCTCGCGATGAGAATCGTTGTCTTGAGGTTCCACTGCGGCGGTCGGCGGAGCATCGCGACGGAGAGGCGAGCGCTGCTGAACGATTGACCGTTGCGACGACGGTGCAGGCTGTGGTGGTGCCCTTGTGTTTGATGACGAAGAGTGGTGGTCCGCAGCCCTCGCAACGTGGAACTGCCGGTCATAATGAACCTTTGCCAAGGGGTTCTCACGCGGCATGCCGCCCCACGACGGGAGGCAATGCGTGGGGACAGGCAGATATTGTTGTTGCTGCTGACGGTAGACGACGGCGGCGGCCGCCGCCATGAGCGCCGGGTCATCGTAGCACCGGTCAGGGGATGGCGAGGGGTAGTGGGTTGTGGACGGCCATGGCTGCCTGGCGAAGGGGGGGATGGCCAATTGCGACGTGTCGAGGTGCTGCAACGCGCCGAGAGCGGCAGGGCCCTTGCGCAATGACGCTTGCGCCAACGACGACGACGAAGAGGCTCTCACCGGTAGTTGCTGCGGGTGCTTCTGGGAGTGGTGAGGGTGAGGGTGAGGGTGCGGGTGACTCGGCGGGCGGAAGACATTGTGGTTTGGCGGATGGTCCCCGGCAAATACGGAGGGCAATGACATGCGCGGGTCTTGCGACTCGTTGCACACGAGGGAAGCGATATCCATGGCGAGAGACGAACGGCGACGACGACTAGACGACGAAGGGATAGGATGAACAGGACGGGCTTAACCGACTTGAATGACTGACAGGCGAGCGAGGGTATAATCGGGCAGACTTATAGGGCTGCGACGAGGCTTCTCACACGACCGCGGGTCTTTAAATAAACCAAAGGGCCGCCCGCCAGGGGAATTAGAGTCGGATGCTTTTGACCAAAAGACGGTACGTAGTATGCCGGTAATCAGTTGCTGCTTGCGGGCTTCTAGATCTTGAAGGGGCCGGCGGTAGCAGATCTGTCGGGCGGGGCCAGGCGGAGTGGCTGAATAAAGGCAAGGAGGTGGCAGCCTGCTCTAGATGTGTTTACGTTAGAGTCGGCTTCAAGGGGCCAGCCTTTCAAAGGGGTTTGTCGGCCGTGCCAGGGGTCCAAAGTCCGTAAAAGACCGGTAAAGCTCGGTTTGATTATGGAAGGGCCGAAAGGGGGTCTTCGACGGTTTGTTGACGTCTCGATGGCGTCGACGATATAGCTTTGAGAGCGCAGCTGTAACCGTAGAGTACGCTGTACGACGAGAATCCGGCTAGACGCAGGAGATGTGCGCCTCGAACGGTGCAAAGAAGGATAGTCGAGAGTAAAGTGTGGTAAGCGAAGGTTTGGAAACGGGTTGGGGTTTGGGAGAGGGGGGGCTCATGGAGCGTTCCACCTTTTAAGAAGCAGTGACCCGAGCTAGTGGGATTAGGGGGGAGTGGGAGAAGGAACGGAAGACACGGAGCGAAGGCCGAACGGGCGCTGCAGATCTGGTATTTGGCACCCAACACACAAATGTTTGGACAGCTTTGAAAACTAAGCACGCATGCAGGTTAGCGGCGGGCGGGCGAGGCGAAGTTGTTGCGCGTTGTTCCTGCTTCCCGTTCTTTTGGACAATCTGGGGGATGGGAGATCCGAGAGGCGTCAGTTGGCCGAGGGACCGCCTGCGAGAGGGTGGGTGCGCGCGCGTAAAAAGAGGTAATACGCAGCGAAGAAAATGGCCCACAATCTGGATTGTCAGCGTCGTCAGAGCGATACCTGTGGATGTTGGGTTGCACCTATTTGCTCATTGCGGCGGGGAGGGAGGGAAGGGACTGCCTTTGCCATGAGGTGAGCCGAAAGAAACACACCCACCCACCCCCCTTGAAGACACCCAAATTGTGACCCAATGATCCGCTCGCAGCCCCCCGACCAAGTTCCAACAACGGACGCAGGCAAACGGCGACAACCCAAAGATTTCGCGCAAGAGCAAAGGGCGTCACAACGCCTGCATGGACAGGTGTATTGGTGTTCCTGCCTTTGAACCCCACCACCCCCCTCCGCTAGTTACGCTCTACGAATGATGCGTTGCCCAACCTCGCCAATAACAATCTGACAGTAGCCCTCATTATTTACCCTCACATCGCACACTATGGCAATGCAATTTGGTCAGCACATGCACCCTGGCTCCCTCTCATCACTGGGCTGTTCTCCCCATTCATGCTTAGCCGCTTTCCTCACCGCACATGGCTAGGTTACGCAACAACAATCGATCGATAGCAGACACCCATCACTCATATTTATGAATGTAGTGACAGGGTGGTGATGAGGTGCCACCTCCTCAGGGGCCCCATGTCAAATAAACCCCGAGGGCCAAGCCATTCATGCAGAAAGAAAATCTCGACAGGGGCTGAGTTCGACAGCTGAGGATACCTGGGAAGATACCGGAGATGGAGAGATATCGATATGATTCGGGCTTGGCTTCCCTTCTCACGCCTCGCCCGCCACAGATATATATAGAGAAAAGCATAGGGCGAAACCAAGCATGCGCATTATTCAGGCAAGTCGAAGCATTGTAAATGGGAAAGAGGTGACCGTCTCCCCTTTGAAAACTTTGCTTCTCTCCCAGCACATTGTATTGCCGTCGACGGTGTTCCGTGGCTTGCTTGCGTCTTACCGGCAATGCTTCCGCAGGATCTGGGCAAAGTCCGCTCTCCAGAGCCGTGGGCGATGACCGTTCAGTTGCGGTGGCTCTGGGCCCGTGCGGAAGAACTGTCCGCGGGTGAGAAAGGAAAGATGCATCCGCTCTGCCAGTTGCCCCTTTCCCCGAGGGTCCACCCGGTCCACTTTATCATCGAATCACGGGTACACGCTTTAAATGTAACACAAGGCCAACGGTTGTGCGTTCCCCCGTCTTTTCTGTCCAATTCCCCGAGTCACTGTTTGCGGCTGGATTCGGAAATCGCACCAAGCACCAGCAAAGGTGCATCCCGGAGTCCCAGAGTGCCAGCAAACGTGCATCCACGGCTCAGATTCATCAAGGGAGACGTGGCAGTCACGATCACGATTCCACGTGGCTTTAAATCTCAAGCCCGTCATCTGACAGCCACCAATTTAAATAATTCATTTGAAGCTTCGCGAACGGAGATTCCATGATTGCCGGTGGTGGGTGACCTTGCTCAAGATCATCGTGCATGGACACAGGCAGGACTCGATTTCAGTTCGAATAGTCTTCGCATTATTATAGATAGAGGCCAGTCAGAGTACTAAAATCTGCCGTCTGCAAAGGTCCGTCGGTTTCGTCGCCATAGGCTCATTAGAGACAGAGCACAAGGGTCTCTAAGTGATGTCCACATGCCATGCACCGTCACGAGCATGCAGCTGCCAGCACCGCCAGCGGTAGAGGATTCCCACGCCGGCTAAGCAAATAAATTGTAGTAGTGGCCGCATTGTAGTAGTGGCCGCAAAGTAATGTCGTTTGATAGATCCCCCACGGCAACAGTTATAAATCTACGCTGGTAACACCGAGATCCCCATGGAAGGCTTGATGCGGTGCCCGCTTGATCAAAAATCTATTAATTAGTCGACCGACTCATTCACGGGCAGGTCTGCGCAGTTCCTACGGTCAAACAGTGGACCCATGGGTCCTGGCCAGTGCGGGGGCAAGACCTGGGAACGAGCTCCCTAATCAGCAGGCAGCAAGAAAAGTCAAACCAAAAGCCGTTTGAGACTTGCAAGCGATTTGCTTCAGATTACCGTGGAGCGATGAACCATGAACCAGCCTACAATATCTACATACGTCAGAGGAAGATTTATCCACGGACATGAATGATTCCCACGGCCGTCAACAACGACACGTTCTTTTCTTCTTCTCTATGTGGCGGCCGCAATCCAAGGTTGGCCGCCTGTGACTGCTAAAAGCGGATCGTCGACAGCACAAATGTATGGATGATCTGCTGAAAAAAAACGGATGCGCCGAATTGGAATCGCTTGAATCCACGGAGTTTAGGTTCTAGAGTCGGTCGAAGATACAACAGGACGGCGGGCTGGATGCCGACGTGCGTAACGTTTCAGCTGTCAAACGCCGATGATGTGCAGTGATTTACAACGGATCGCTGGAGATGGTCCGCCAAGGGGGAGACACAAGACTCGCGGATCGTCAGTTGACCGGCGAATCATATGCAGAACGTGTTATTACGACGTCGACTTGTGGGATTTACCACACTGCTCCCAATGACGACGATCCCGGCGAGTCCGGTCTCCCGATGTCGAGCCCGGCGACAAAGGTAGCTAGCTAGCTGCAAGAGATCTCAGATATCGCACTGACGCCGCCGCAGCCCATCTCCATTCGGAGAAATAGGACGATTCATGCCCCACACATGACTGCGGATCCGTCCTAACGCTGGACCTTTGTTCACCGTGAATTCAAGGTCCTTTCTACCGCCGAATCCACCTCATCTTTCGTGTCCCCGTCGACACATCCGTGGCCTGAAACTGAAGGACTCTGAACGGCCTGAAACGAACACCGACGTTTGTGTGAGTGTGATCTTACAACACGATTGCCCCGGCAGAGATCGGCACATCTAATTAACGGCCGGATTGCCAGCGGACGATCCTCCTTTCTGAACGGCCCCAACTTTCCCAAACCAACACAAAACGAGGATCGCCAGCGGATCCCAAGATTCCCAACTAATTCAAGGTTGTCGTTCAACAATTTCTGCCAAAAGTTGGGCCTGCCAAAAGTTGGACCTGGATCAACGCGTCCCATTCACGATGTAAAACTTTCGCCAGCGGCCGCAGGACAAAAGCCTTGTTCCCTTAAAAAAATTGCTCCGTGCTGAGAAAAAATTCACTCAACCGTAACACAACACCGACGCCCCTACCTGCACAACCCTGGGGAGGCCTGACGAACGTAGAAATGACATCATCCCGAAGGCAGGTGTGTGGAATTGGACCGTATTGACCCAGGGTTTTGGATTCAAGGTGCGAAAATCCCTGAATTGTGAACCCGGACCCTTGCGCAGAAGGAGTGTGTAACTCAATTTGGATCCTCGGTTTTGCACCCTCGATTTCTTCGCCCGTTGTAATGAAACACCAAGTGTCAATCAAGAGGCTTTTCGCTGGGCAGAATGTGGCAATCGTTGCGTCATGGACTCGTGGGCTCTCGTTGGAAAGTGGACCCTTGTTGGCGCGAGCCACGGGTTCACAACGAGGCTTTGATAGTGAGCTGATTGACTCACTGTCGTGGCGGTCAGCAAGGGATCTGCGTGCACGACCTGTCCTTTATACTGGACATCCTTGATTTGGACAGCGGAGGGAGGGAAATTCGAACTCGAAGGGGTCCGTTGCATCGCATCTCCCTTCGATGCATCGCAAAAGGACTCATCACAGAAACCAATGACAACCCATGCCGCCGCCGCCGCCGCATGAACCGAGGACGAGAGTCATCGAAGTCATCAGACTCATCAGGCCTTCGTCTCCACAGGCTCATGGGCCGCCGCGAAGGACGTGCAATATTCTCCTGCTACATTTCGTGTTAACGACAGCCCAATACCTCGTTACTCCAGCGGAGGACAGTGAGAGGTCGACGAAATCGGCGCGCGGAGACACTATTTGTAACCCAAAGCCTCATTGCGACTTGCCCATGGTAAACGTGGGAGACGACGGGAGACAAGGAAATCATTTCTTCCGCAACGGCGTCCAAGACGTGATGGGGTCGTTAGTTTTCCCAGGGCACTGTTGCTTCTGGTGGCCACGTCGGTAATAGATAGAACGTTGCTTGTTGGATAGGGTGTGATATGTAGCATGGGGTGTGATAATATGTAGCACAGGGTGTGATATGTAGCAGGAATGATTTTGCGTCGTTTCCTCGCGTCCTTTTCCTTGGGTGTGTTTGCCAGATGGAGGTCGTCCCAATCGTCGATCCATGGTTCAAAGGGGCTCTGAGGCAGGGTAACCGAAACGATACGACGGAAACCTGCATATCGTGTGCAACTACCGTCAAATCGGCACTGGGAATTCAGAGATTTCCGCGACCGAATATCCATGATCCTATACGAAATGTCGCAGCCGCAGTTCTCCCCCCCCAGCCACGGCTGGATCAACAAAGGTTGGTCGTAAAGAAAGTCTCCCATGTCTCCATAGTGAAGAACGATCGGCAATGGGGGACGATGTATGCATAGCTGGGAAGCTGAGAAAGCCCGATTGTCGCCCGCATGATAAGCTTGACTTTTAGGAACGACGGATATTGCAGATCCCGTACCTCCGATATTAAAATGCCGAGAATCACTTGCGTCAATATGTATCCGAGGCTGTCCCAATGCTGGATCCGATGCCTGTGAAGAGCGCTCGAGCCGTTTTGCAAGCAGTGTTCACGTACTGCGAGAGATTATTGTGCGGAACCGCATATACTATCGTCCTCGTCCTCAAGTCCAGCAAGCTGAGAGTAGTGCAGTATCCGATGTCCAACGTCGAAAGCTGATGTTCGCTCTGAGGTATCAGCGTCGAAGTTTTTGTTAATGGCTGTCCTCCTATGCAATGCTAAATAAGGGAACCAAGGGAATACCAGCCAAAGAAAAATCTAGATACGACGCGATAGACAACCTCACTTACCTTAAACACTTTTGTTTGCGACATTCCCGACAACATCCCCTCTAACTCCTCTGTCTCTGCCCAGCCGACAAACTCAGATCGATCCTCATATACGTTCTCCGAAAGCCCCCGAAGGAATGTCGACACCTTCTACCACCCCTTCCCCGTACACACTCACATCCTCCGGACTTCCTCAATGTCGATGTGTGAGGTCAAGCACGTTCGCTGATTGTCGTACGTAAGTTCCTCTTCCGTTGGTCGTGGTTCCGTCTTCCACTCCGCAAAGAGTGCTGACCAACCCTACTGGGGGTTTTTTCAAATCACGTTCAGATCCGAACAGCACTGAGTTCGGTGTCCCACTAGCAGACGGAAAATGTAGGTTAGGGCCGCCGTCCACCTACAGTCTGCACGACGGCCAGCCCGAGACGGCCGCCAGGACCCTTGCAATCCAGCTTGCAATAAACGCGCATTATTCGCTGCTCTCGCGCGCTTACCTAATGCATACGCGTGAAAAACCCACGGCCCGACGGGAATCGGGGTTCCAGATCCACCCGCTGACTTGGCCGAGCCGGAGAATAGACGCGCACCCGCACTTTTCTCTCCCTTTCCTGCTTTGCACAAACTCAAACTCACACCCACCACTCAAAAGGAAGGCGAGGAACCCACACAGCTCCGGGCTCTGGAGTCTGGATCTCGCAGGGGAGGTCTGGAACAAGGGTCTCGACCAGCGCTGTTGTGTCGCCACGACGGAAAGACGAGGTGAAAACATCATTTTGCGGGTTCTTTGCGCGCAGTTGGGCTAACCCATAGGGTTTGCTTTTCGCAGCAGAGTCTCGCAATTATTGGAATCGGCCGATGTCTGACGTCCGGCCGCTGTTTACGAATCCTGCTCGTTTTACAACAATTGATTGTTTTCCCGCCGAAAGACACGAAAAACTTCGAATGGGACCGAGAGAAACGAAAGCGTCGTGGCTGTACGCCTCGTGTGTCTCGTTCTTCTGATGAGTCGATCCTCAATCAAAGCGATGTGAGGTCTCCCATCATTGTTGGAAGATGGTTGAACGCATGCGCCGCGGTCTAGACCCTCCTTTTTCACATGGATCGAGGAGTGGAGCGCGAGAATGAGACGGCGGGAGGCGTGATTGCTACTCTGCACTCCAGCGGGCTCGCGGAAAAAAGGACTGTAACGGAGAGGGGCACCATCAACGGTCCTTAGGGCGATGGACGGGCGGTCGTGGAGGACCGCCCATACGACGATCGATTGATTTCCATCTTCCATTGCGAATTTGCGATGACCGGGCGGCCTTGATGAGTGATTTCTTGGGTCATTTGGACCGTGGGAATGCCGGATCGGAATCTCTGAAACTCATCATTCTGGGACCAGCTGGGACGAAACTCGCTGCCTCCAGGGGATTTCCGGCCCGCGGGGCCTCTAACTCAATTTTAAGGAAATTGGACGAGGGAGACAGTATGTGCGATGGCGACCAAAATTATTAGCAATTTTCGGCAACATCTGGACGCCGATACAGGCAGCGATGGTGGAGGAGGCAACCGACCGTTTTGCATCGCTTTCCAGGTGACCGAGCTCAGGATCGCCCTGACTGGGGAGACAATATGGGTTACGCCTCACCTCCTTGACAGTCTGGGCTTTGTTGTGGCCCGCGTGAACAGCACATTGGAATCGACCTCGAGGGGAGGATGGTTGGCATCGTACGACACGGCGCAAAACAGAACACAGACACACAGACCATATGTCCCCGCCGTAGGTTCCACACCGCTCGGACTGCCTGAGATGGTCGGGAACACGCTGCCATGCAGGGGTAGAGAGGGATCATTATTGCATTGTGCGACACCACCGTCTGCCTAACACACCATCTTTCGCCGTGGGCCTGCACGTCCTAGAATGGTTCTGGGAGAGCCCGGATCCTGCTGCGGCGTGTCGTCATCGCCTCGCCGGGCCGATGGCGACGGACTAGGAGCTGGATTTACTGGTGTGCAGGATTGCACAAAGGCCACAAAGAGCTCCCACAAAAGCGGCGGGCCTTCACAACTCAAAGTCTTTCGGGAGACACACAACACGAAAATGGATTTAAGATTACATCATTCCTCCCGAGGCGGGGCGTTGTTGGCAAAAACCGCTTCCCCGAACCCAAGCGTTTGTACTGTATGCCCAAATTGGGAGTGGCTCTGGGATGCATGGCCGACACTGCCTCTCGGAACCGCCGTGGGGGATTGTACATCCATCTCGAGACTCAAATGTTCGGTCTCCCCGATCAGTCTCCCTGAATCATGCGGCAGCGCTAATTGATTCACTCCAGCACACGCAATGTGTGGGTGGGTTTGGCGGAGTGATGCGTGGTGCGCAATGAGATGTGGTGCGCAACGCGGCGGGAGGTCCTTCTGCCTGATTTTTCGATCAGACTGTGGATTCGGCAGGCGAGGGTGAGTGTCCCGATTCGACTGCGACGGTGTGGTGTATCGCGATACCTGTCGGGATTTTTGCCGATACGGCAACGGTTGAGAGATGTTTCGGCAGGGACGACGCACACGAGGTCATGCAAGGTGCGATAGGATTGATGTCTGGTTGTGAGACGATTTGGGATTGCTGCAGGTGTCCGGTCAAATAAGTAGCGGACGACCAGGGTCACGATGCCGTGCAGACCCAGTTGCCATCATCATCGTTTGCTGGTTTGGATCTGTTTCTACTGTGAGCCTGGGGACGGCAAACTGCAATTCTATGGAGTACTTGTGCAGAAACTTCGGACATGGAGCTACAGAATCAGGAAGGCCTGAGGATACTGGCGTGCCATGTCAGAAGACCATCGGACTTATGGAAGTACGGAGCGTACTAGGAATTACAGCATATATTACAGCGGGCGGGTAAAGACACAAATCATTCGACTGAGTGTCGGCGGTTGCCAAACTGGAGAAACCTTTCGGGAGGACTATTATGGAACAGGCCATCGACTCTCACGCTTGCGTGACATGTCGCGGCATTGTCGCCGGTTGCAGACTTACACGTAACGTCTTTGTACCTCAAATACCAGCGATGTCCAACTGCCCGGGAATATCTTGTCAATGACCACGGCGAGAGGGAACGTGTACCAAATTTCTGGACAGTGGAGACGAAAGTCTGGTTTTGCGCAATACACTGGCTTCTCAATGAGCCCCATTGCCGGAAGTCAACGACGACCGTCTCCAAATGCCAGTCTGAACGTCATCAGTCACCCCTGGGGATGGATCAAATCCTCGCTCTTCGGTGCGGGAAGAGAGCTGACTTCCACATCTGAATCCCAGCGGGCCGCGCGCACCAACCGATTCCGGATTCAGGCGGGATGAGATGGTCACGATATGGGTGGTTGAATGGATTGCACCGTCTTTAGACCCCCTTCACGGACGGACGGCCTGGATGTTGCACCGACCTCGGAGCTGGGCAGAAGTTATGTGGAATCCCTGAGGCTCTATCCTGCACCGGTCGGATCTGGACAGTTGGAAAAGTAATTTGACAGCATAACCTCCGACCGCGTGGGCCTGAGAGGACAAGTTCTGCTCTTCTACGGACATCATTCTGTCCTTCGATATCATCCCTGATCGGGACGATAATACTCTTCTTGGACTTCCGTTTGCATGGGGTTGTGCGTCTGTCTGAAACCCACATATGGACAATGTTACCTCACATCCCATATTCATATACGTACCGTAGGCGGCCGTTTGAATTGCGAGACTACGTGCGATATGCCCCCGTCTTCCGCTCACTCTCCGGAAATGTGCTGTGCTCAGCATGTCATCCATACCAGTCCGGCGGGTTGCGTTTCGTCACCTTCTCGTGATGGGCATACCTCGTCATATACTTGGGATCACAGGCGAAACGGACGGACGGCGCCAAGGCTCAATTGGCGGAGGGAGAAGGAGACGTTTCTGCTTTCCATTTATGCAGCTATGCACACATCCGCACCTGAAGTCCCTGGCACAATGCCGGAGGGATTCTCCTACGTAGGGGTATCGCGATGTTGCTGTGCGCAATGAAAGATTTACTGTGCGTCATGCCAGAAACCCCCAGAGCGTCAAGGGAGGTTCCAGCGGGACCTCGTTCGCCCCGGGGGGCATTGACATGAACGTCATGGTCTAGATGAATCGTCCCCATGTCGTCACAGCACTGAGCGAGGACCGACGGTGACTACGTAGCTTTTTTCGACTCGAACATTCGAACATTCGGAGCGAGCGTCATTACCAATGTTCTCTTATACCCCGTGAGCGCGGCAAGGACGACAAATATCAATATAGGCCATATGAGGATTCAGATGCCAACAAATCATCGTTGAAGGACTATCGTTCCCCCGTTACTTTCTGGATCCTGGAGCAGAGCCCCCCACAGCATACGAAGAAAACGTAACAAATGCATGGGGACTTCCGGCGGACTTTTCCGAACGTCACGACGGGGGGGAGGGGGCCACGGGGTGGTGGGGGATGGGTATGTCCGAAACCTGTCCTGGGAGCGCGAGTGGGGGAAATGGGAAACCAAGCAACACATTGCATTCGGACATTCCAGAACGCGCCTGCTTGATTTCAACGGACGGGGGGAACGCGTCAGGGAAAACAGAAGAGCTTGCCCTGATACATAGGGGATATTGGGGGAGAAACCGCAGGAAACGCCCTCGTCACAGGACCAACGACAGCAGTGGATGGGCCCCCAATGGTGCAATGACAAGGGCCACGCTTCGCTTTACCGGCGGTCTCCGTGTGTGCTTAAGATAATAAGGTTCAGAGATGAACGCTGCCAAATGGCAATTCCAACGCCTTCAACCCCCCACGCGAGGCAATGCGTAAGCAAACACCCTTAGGGTTTGTGGGTTATTGCCTCGCTATATAAGCGGATGGCAGACTGGCTGTGCGCCCCATAATCCCCGATGGATCCGCCCATAAACCGCGTTATCTGCACATTTTCGTAATGTTTCACGGCCATTTCGCAGACAACCGTTCAATTGGATTGGCCATGGCGAGAATATTTAAGCAGAGGAGCTGATGCGGCCACCCTGCTCGGCTTTTTGTATCCTCACCTCGACAAAAAACAACCACCTAAGTGCCATTGCACCATCGAAAACTCAACTCGCACGACTCGAACGTTACGAATCTGAGGAAATGGCCTCACTGCTGTTTACAGCCCCTGACCTCATACCATCCTTCGACCCCTTCCTCGGCCGCCTCACTACCCGAACCGTCGATCTTCAAGACGACCTCCTCCTCTGCTCCGAAATCTCCAGCGCGGAGCTCAAGTCACCCCTGATGGCTCACTCGCCTACTCCGAAGCCAGCGCCGTTCATACTCTTATCTCATCGGTGGTTGCCGAGACCCGCGTATGAGAGTTTCTCGTTGCCGAAATCTGATGCGGTGCCGGATATGGGTCATCCGGTTTCCGATACGTTTGTCGATATAGGCACAAGTTTGGAAGCGAACTCTGAAAACCCGTTCAACGTCACCGACTCCTCGCTGCTAAACTCGAATCCCGCATTCGCGGAGTACGTCTTCGAGAGCCTGCAAGCCACAAGCACCTCTTATCGCTGCGGTAGCACCCATTCCATCGACATCGGGTCATCTCCAATGTTCACCGACGAACAGCAAATGCCCTACCTCATGTCTCCCCTCGCGCAATACCTCCCGCTTGCTGCGATTCAGGTCCCTATCACTTCTCCCACGCGTTGCGATCACAAGCAAGCTACACCCGAGATTACATCTCCCATCGTCGACGATTCGGTTGTCCGAAGCCTCGTGTTTGCCGACACCGAGACGTCGATGGCTGACTCGGACTCGGAGTCAATGTCGGAGGTACCACCCCAAGCCCTTCGTTCGTCAACCCCTGTCGAGGAATGCATCCTCTGCGGCAACGAATGCGATTGCGACCCAGAGCCACTCGCGCAGCCCGTCCCTTCCAAGCAAGTCAGACACACACCAACACCGGTCGCGCCCACCGACGACGGTGATACCCAGCCGTTCGTCGCGATGGACGCCCGCGATGCGTCGTGGGATGGTCTTTTCAACGACCAAGCTCTCTCGTCGCCACGTGCTTCGCCAGTGGCTTCCATGGCGTCGTTTCAGAGTGGCAAGACTTTTGGCAAGTCCACGTCGCTTGCGCCGGTTGCGCCGGTTGCGACAGACGCGTCCGGTGACGATGTCGATGACGAAGAAGCCGAGGGGATGATCGCTTGCGAGGTTGCCAGCACTCCCAGTTTCGAGACCGAAGTCAAGACCGTCCCGGCTTCTACCATTAAAGTCGAACCTCCTCTCAAGAGACCCGAAGTACAAGACGACTCGGACGACCAAGATTCCGATTCCGAGGAGTACAATGTGAAAGAGGAACAAGACTCCGATTCCGACGAATGGTTCGCCGGTCCAACATCCCGTCGTCGTCGAAATTCATCTACGCGCACCGCAGCTACGAAGCGCACATCCTCCTCCACCCCACGTACAAAGTCCACCGCAACCACCCCCAAATCTTCTCGCACGTCGAAAGGCACATCAGCCCGTCCGCACGTCTGCCCCAAGTGCCCGCGCTCCTTCGCCCGCCGCTTCAACCTCACAATCCACATGGCGACGCACGATCCAGCCCGCGAAAAGATGCACAAGTGCACGATGGCTGGCTGCGACTCGGCGTTTTGGCGGTTGCCTGATCTCAAGCGGCATTTGAGGTTGGTGCCGCATGCGGGGATGAAGAGGAAAGCGGTGGACGAGAGCGAGAGTGAGGTGAAGGACACGTCGGAGGTCGCCACGAAACGTCCTTCACGCAGGCGATGGGAGGCGGATACCCAAAAGCAGGCGGATACCCCTCCCGCGCCAAAGGCTCACCCGGTTCGCAAGTCGGCGCAACACTTTTTGAACCCGCTCAAGCGTCTCAAGACAGCGCAGCAACCTACTCCGCCGTTGACGCCGTCGACGAGGGCGCACAAGGTTGCTATGCCTGAGGGATGACTTGCGGGCGATGCGAACACGACCTATCACAATGCCTTCTCGTATCGCCTTTCATTCCTTCAAGCGCTTGTCTCATGAAGATCTTCACTCGTTTCTCTGCTTCTCATCAAAAATCAACAACACTATCACGAAGCACACGCACATTCCGTCCCGTTTCCGTAGCATCGCCCCTCGTCTTTCACGCCTATTTACATTTGGCTTGTCTTGTTTGTTCTTTCGCCCCAAATGGTCGGGCAACGGGGATTGAAAATCCTTTTGGGAGGCATAGTGAACCACTACACGTACCTTATCGTAGGGCTCTGAAGTCATTTGAGAATGTACATTACGCGTTTGTTTTGTATACGTACATAGATTGTACGTAGAGAATATACTAGAAGCGCCGGGTGCTATTCATGCGATTTCCCTTCTTGTCTGCATCTGAGGTTGAATTGATGGTGGTTGCGGTCGCGACATTCCTCCAGAACGCATAATGAAGGCAATGATCAGGGGTTTTTTCCCCTGGCAGCTTTTTTTTGATCCTACAATGCTGTCTTATGTACCGCGGGGATCTGTGTATGTACACGCTACTATACATGTATGCTACGTATGTGTTTGATGTGATAGCATTCTCCCGCTGCTGGCAGCTCCTTCGCACATGTCTCCATGTGCATCCCTTTCTCCGTGCCGATCGCCGACCCCACCACCATCTATACAACCCCACTAACTTTATCCTTCGCGGATAACTGAGCCTCGATAAACCGCGCGAGTTCCACATCCCGCACACTCAACCCGCTGCATTCGTGTGTCGAGAGCGTGATGTCCACCTTGTCGTATACGTTGAACCACTAGAAGAAGGGATGGATCATGGGTTAGCGAGACGAGACGCGTCGCAAAGCAAAAAGGAAACATGAGCGAAGCGAAGGTTGCTCGGTTGGTTGAGCGAAGCGAAGCACCGATCGAATGTTGGATGGTTAAACGATACCCTGCGCGCTCCGCTCGCCACAAGAGATGTTGAGCAGGAGGGCTATGCTCGCTTCACTGGCAAAAGCTCTGCAACGCTCGCCGGTGCTCGTTCAGAAATACGGGGAGACTTCCGCCTTTGGCGCAATGCGGCTCGCTCCGCCCGGGCTCGATGTCGCTCGCGAAGGCGTTGCGACGGTGGCGCGCGGGTATCGCCGGCTCTCCTCGAAAACCAAACACTTGCACTCCCACAACGACCCAAACCCTCGCTTCGCTCGGTCGCTTCGCTCGGTAAACCCACCTCCGGATGATGGTCCATCTTCTCAGCCTGCATGGCAACCCTGGTCATAAACCCAAACGCCTCACTAAAATCCTCAAACCGAAAGCTTTTCTGAATGACATCGCGTTTCCCATCGTTGCTAAAAGTCCAACCCTCAAGGTTCTGCAGGGCCTGGGTTCGTTCCTTCTCAGTCAGCGGCGTCACGGGTAGTTGCAAAGTTGCAGTGTGGGTTGTCTTTGTGGAGGACGACGAGTGGGCGGTTCGCATAGACATGATTGTGGGGGTCGCGGGGGTGACGATCGGGAGGCGAATGGAACGCTTGAGGGAAGTGCAAGAGTAGAGGTTCGGTGCTGTTGGGGAAAAGCGAGTGGAGAGTGCGCGAGCGGTGATGGCGGCGGTGGTGGCGGGGCGGGCGAAGAGCATGGGTGTGACGAGAAGGACCTGAGTCGCGCGAGCTAGGAGGGAAGGGAGAAGACGGTGGTGCTGGCTGGCTGGGGGGGGTGGGCTGTGGGATTTTCAAGGCCGATTGGGGGCTAGCTGAGTTGAGGATTGCAAAGTGGGGAATGACGAAAGCCACGAGACCCCCCTGTTGCCTGTCTCATCCACCCGGTCAGCGGCAAACACAAGCGGAGAGTCGGAGACGCGTCCCATTGTCCCACCATCCAGCAACGGGAGTGGCAAAGGCAGGTTCCATGAGCAACAGACGCCAGGAGAGGAGAAGGGAGGTGACAAAAACAGGTCCCATCAACATCATCGCAAGGAGAGGAAAGGGGGGAGGCTGTCCCATGTGCAACACCGCAAGGAGAGGAAAAGGGGGAACGGCTAAAGCAGGTTCCATGTGCACAATGGCAAGGAGGGCGCCGCCGAAAGCTTATGTACTGTATGAATATCGGCAAGAAGAATGGAAAGAACGTGTGCTCGATAAAGGGCCGGCGATGGTAGCAGAACTTCCAAAGGCTACTGTGGTCGCTCGATCGGCCGGCCACCTTTGATCTTCCACAGATCCGCTACGTACCGCCATCCACCTCATATTGCGCCCGGCCCGTCCCCATCATCGAGCATGCGAGTTATCACGTCTCCAGTTATACGTCTCCAGTTCGGGCAGAGGGATTGACGAGGATTTGAGAAGGCATTCATCCCCTCAGAGATTGTTCCAATTCACCGCATGGCCCACCGACTTGCGTAGATTCAGGACGTTTGAGAGTCGTGGCTTTGATATCGACTGATCGAGTTACGGACTGCGACTGATTTTACGCGTCAGTTCGCGTCAAAGCTGCCCATATGGCCCTGACCCTTCGGCTTCGCAAGCAGGGCTCATTACCCAGTGTGGTATAGCTCGGAAGTAGCCGGCTGGGGTCAGAACCGTATACTGATTGTATTGCTGTGTGCGTTCTATGTCCTCCAATGTCTCGCACAGTCTTTGTCTTCGCGCGAGGTCTTTCCTTTCGGCGTCGCTCAGGGCGTCGCAGACTCTCAGGGCGTGACCGAGTGTGTCGCGAAGGGTGCGGTACCAGAGAAGCGGGGACTGCTTCAGACCGTATAAAGCCTTGCGAAGAAGGTATACCCAGTCTCCGCGCGGGTGGCGCGGATCTTCGTAGCCTTGAAATTGTTCGACATAGACAGGACCGTCGATGTCTCTGAGTAAGAACGCGTTGGGTACATCAAGTTGATGAATCTCCATACCGAGAGAGACAACGATGCCAAGGCATAGGCATAGAACTCACATGGGCAGGGTAGGGCCATAGGTGTTGGTGTAATCGATGCCATGTTGTTGGCAAAAACCTTGAACGACGCCGCGGCCCTTGAATTTCTTGAAAGTACCGTCCGGGTTGAAGATTTGACGAAGTACCCACGTACTACCGAGTACGCGCTCATCGCGCGGATGGGGTACAAGTTTTCAAGTTCTGTTATTGACGAGAGCTTGGAATTCCTTATCAGCGGCGAGTTTGAAGTCAGCGGGGTGAGGGGAGGCCATCGCTTGGCGCCAGGTCATAGTGACTGATGTAGGGGTGTCCTCGGTACGTGCGTTGAAGGTGCATGAGTATTCCTCAATCGTTTGGGCTGATAAAGCGGCTGGGCAGGTCTTCCAAAGGCCCAACGCTTCAGTCTCAATGAGGTCAGAGCGTGGTTGCCAGGTAGGGGTAGTAAAACCAACCCACTTAACGCGGTATTCCTTCTGAGCGTTCTTCCTTTACTGCAACGTGCACTGAGGATGTGTTTGATGGCGGAGGACTCAGAAGAAGTGGGAACGTCTTCTAGAATGTTGAGAAGAGCAGGATCCTGATGAAGGTGTTCAGGGAGGCCAGTAGATTCGTTGAAACGAATGTCACGGGAGACCGCAAAGATGTCGCGTACTGGATCCCATACATGAGAACCTTTGGTATCTTGTTGGTGTGCGTACCCGATGAGATATGTCCTTGTGGAGCGGTTGGCCATCTTGTCCTGGCCCTTGGGCGGAATGACCGTATATGAAAGACATCCGAGCTTGCGCAGATGCGCGACACTGGGGCAGCGACTGATAAGGTATTCAAAGTGCGATTTAGCGTCCGGTGATGCATCTGAATGCGGGTAGAGGTTGTGTAGGTAGGAAACAGCCTCTAGGATGTACGGCCAGATCTTCAAGGTAGATGCGTATCCGCGAAGGTAGCATGTACACGGTCCACCAGCATCCGGTTGAGGCTCTCAGCTTTTCTTTTTTGTTGGCTAGAATAGACAACGGAAGATTCATGAGTGATCCCGTTGTCGTGTAGATACGATGTAAGCTCACCTGTGTATCCTCCTCCTCTGTCGGTTTGTAAGATCTTGAGGCAGGGGCCAGTTTGATTCTTGAGCCACTTGTGCCACCATAAACTTCTCTCTGATAGAGGATGACTCCTTGTCCATAATTGAGTAAGTGCGGGCAAAACGCAAGACTGTCTGTGTATCATCTTGCCGGGCTTGTGTTGTAATGTGGGTTGTCCGGTCTAGTTGGAGAACGACGCGACATGTCTGCGAGACATGTCTCACCAGAGGGTCCGCGTCCTCCTCTCTCTCGCCAGGGGTGGTGTTGATGTATGTATTTCGAGAGAAGAAAGGGCCACCGATGACCCAAACGCACCGCGTGGTGGCCCGACCGTCGGATGGGCGATCCGCTAGGAAACTGCGAGCGCGCAAGGATATCGAACGTCGCCGGTGTCGCTGATGTCGCTAGTACTGCCGCCCCGGGCGTCGAAAGGTGGTGAGCGCACCCGGTAAACTGCGAGCGCGCAAGGGTGACGCCCACATCGTCGAAGGGGGTCGAGCAGCGAGAGGCGAGCACACCAGAGAGGCGAGCACACCAGCAAAGCTGTGAGCCCACGAGAGGGGATCGCATCAAGGTAGCAACGGCAATAGGTCACCAGGGAGCGCGAGCACACGGCAATAGGTCACAAGGTCACGTAAAATCATGATATATTGATCAAATGACACGACAAAGATTGGTAACGCACCACCCAATAATAGTTCCCAACGCAGCTAAAGACGCAACGCTCCCAAATCTCGAGCGGCTGACGCAAGTTGGTCCAGAAGCAGATGCATACAGAAGACCGAATGCGACCGTACATAATCGTCAAAAGCATCGGAGCGCCATCTACCAATCATCTTAATAGTATCCAGGGCAACTCCCTCGTATAGCAACCTTGTAACACCCCCGGCGCGGAATGAAGAAGTCCCGACGTCGAAGTTGGTAGCGGCGAGCCATAGAGCACGAAGCCATTCCGGTGTTGCTTCCTCCATCGAAGTCAGGAGCCAGAGCGGAGTTTGCTGATCATGCGCCTGAGCGTCGTGCCAATCGAGAATGCATTGGAGGGCGGAAATGGGATCGAGGTCATCCGGGCGCGGATGTAGGTTGATGTATTGGTTGTGGGCAGTGTTGACCTTCGGATGGCGCACATAAATAGAGTAGCTGAGGCCAAAGCGGGTGTCGCGAGGGATAACGTCACCGATGCAAATGGGATCCCAGGGGCGGTTGGTTATGGCTTTCACGGTAGGCCCGACCATCTCACGGCGGCGCGCAAGACCCCAGAAACCGACGAGGGATACAGCCCACAAAACCGCATGGTCATGGTTGGTAGTGAGTTTGAGGCGGGAACGAAGGTGACGAAGGTGTTCGACAGTCATCTCTGCGGACTGTTTCTTGATACGTAAGGGGGCGAGTGAGCGTATCGGAGGCGTTGTTGTACGATCTTGTTCTTGTATAAGAAAACAAAGTTCCATCCGTTGAGATTGTGAAAATCTCGTAGGGCGGACCAGTTGCGAACGAGGGTGTCGGCGAGGATCTTCCCATCCAAGATTCTGCGGACTTTGTGTTGGAAATACAGTTCAAAGTTGTCGGTGGTGACGGGAAACACCGATCCGTCCAGGTTACGCCAGTTATGGCGCAGAGCGGCCCGTTCATATGCGCGGACGGAGGACGCATACGAAGGCCGGGGGGGTATCATTGGGAGCACCCCCCTTGGCTAGAGGTGTGCGAACACCGGAGGCCGAAGCCGTCGGGGCGGGGGTGGAGATAGCGTGGGATTTGAGGAACGAGATACGTCTTGGTAGGATGGAGAAGCTTGAAGTTGGTGAGCCCGCCGCGGGTAAGTAGGTCACATCCGAATACGTGTTTCCGAGGGACGTAGTGTAGACGCATGTCAAACTGAAAGACGCTGATCGCCGAGTGAATGGAGCGAATGGCATCGTTGGAGGCGGGGTCGGTGCTGCGACTGTTCCCATACGCGTAGACGTTGCCCTCGTTGTCGGTTGCCCATAAGAGTTTGCTGCGCGTGAACTGCGGTCCAAAGGTCCAAACACCAATGTCGATAGCGATCAGTTCGAAGGCCGAAGATGGGTGCTGCTCGTAGCATTGGATACACCAAGTGCCCCATGTGAACGTCGTGTCGGTGACAAGGCCAAAGCCCCTGCGGCCACTATCACCGGCGGCCCCGAGAATAGTGGAGGTATACCAGTTGCTGTCGATCAACAATCTACTCCCACCCCATTCATGCAAGGTGTCGTGGAACCATGTCAACGCTTGAAGGGAGCGAGGTGTCCAAGGCATGGCGCGGCGGCGAGTCTTTGTGACGGCGAGGTGAGCCCAAAGGTCAGAAAGGTATAGCCGACAATATGGTAGGAGTTGACCGACCATGGTCAGAAGGCTGGTCAGCTCTTCTAAGGGTTTGAGGCTAAGGGCGGCGGTCGCACGGGCATCGTTGATCAGCTTGAGGACCTTGGTTTTCTTCAGTGGCGGAAGGGAAATGCTGAAGGCGTCAAGATCGAATAAGAACCCAAGGTGGGCTAATGTCGACCCCACTGCCGTCTTCGAGGGCTTCACCGGAATGCCCAATGCCTTGCAGACTGAGATGACCGTGCGTAACGTCTGCGAGCCGAGTTCCGCTAATGTAACCCCGAAGTGATCGTCAACATAATGGAGGGGCTTGGGTACGCCGGCGCGCTGGAGGATCCAGGCTACTAGGTTGCCTTGTAAACAACAAACGTGTCCCGATGAACGGCACCCGAATTGCATGGCGTGATCGAGCCACCAGCGTGCGTCATGAAGGATCAACTGTAGGGCTTGATTGGCGGGTCGCACGGGGTTGATGCGGTAGGCATCCGACCAATCGACCTTCCAGAGTACCAAAGGCTTGTTGGGATACTGTGCGCGCGCGGTAAGTATATCTTGGATAAGGATGTCGACCTTGTCTAAATGGCATTCGCCGAAAGCCCTCGGGGCGATCGCATCATTGAGGCTGGATCCGTGGGGAAAGGAAGCGTCGTTGACTATTCTCCACTTCAGGACCGTGCCGTCGTGGGCGGTTTCCTTGGGTACGCATGCCACTGGTACAGAGTGCTTGTACGGTAGGGCCATTAAAAGCTCAGGGGGTAAAGGGCGACGGCGATCGGCCACGTGTTCCTTCGTCATGTCGTCAGCAAAGGGCCGATGCTGAGTGTCGGCGGAAGGGTGATTGTGTTGGAGCGGTACCGTGCAAGGGCCCGTATACTGCAAGGGGTATCCAGATTGGATCCCCCGAATGAGTTGATGAACAAGGACTTGGTTGGGAAATTCGGTGGTCAAGAGGCGTAAAACCGTGGGATTGATGGGGCACGGGGTCAGGTAACAATCGTGTTGCAGGAGAGCATCAGCGGCTTCAAACTCGACGTCGGTCATAAGAGGCTCGGGGTATGTGAGGCGATGGAGGATAAGATCGCGTGTTGGTATCAAAGGTGTAGGAGCAAAAAGGGGTCGTTGTTCACGCGGGCCGAGATGGATACCCCGAGCAATATTGTACCGGAACGCAGCGCCGTAGTCCACTGCGCCCGGCGTCGTTTCTTGGAAATGAAAATCAGGGCTGGGTTGGGGTTGGGTTGGCGGCAACGTTGGCTGAACGGATGGCTGTTCCTCGACCCTTGCCGCCTCGCTGATTCTTGACTCTAGGTTCGGGTCGCCCGTGGAGCTGGAAACAGAAATCCATTCCGTGTCCTGAACGGTGGCAGTGTTCACAGACGTGCCGGTACTTGCACTCACGATGCCGGCATTCGCCGCGTTGGTACGCACGGCAGAGTTCTCCAGATACACGTTCCCGTCCTCGTCCCGCGACATGACCAGCAGTCCCGCCCAAGCCCACAGCCATCGGGGTAAGCCCGTGCGATTGCCAAAGCTCGGGTCGGGGGGTGTCAAGGGGGATCGCTGGGAAGTTGGCCCACAAACGTCGACGAGCCTTATCGTAGGTGGAGATGATGGGCCAGTTCCGGGTCCCGGCGCGGTTGCTCTTGGAACGAATATCCCGGCGGTAGGCGTTGAGCTGGGGAACGAGCGAAGGGTAGAAGGAGACAAGCGCTTGGGTGTAATAATCGAAAGCTTCATCCCATTGGCCGAAGCTATAGCAGGGTTTGCCCGGTGTGTCTTCCAGTGCGTGGAGCGCTCCCGTCTCGGACTGTTCGAAAACGATTTCCTGGCGTCGCTCCTCGAGTTGGATGTCCGGGGGGAACTTGTCAAGGTCGACAAAGGCGAGGCGCATGACGAGGTCAAGTTCCTTCTTAGCAAGATGTGGGCCGCCGCGGGACTCATACTCATTCTTGACCTTGGTAGGAGCGGAGAGGTTGGCGTGGCGTCGTTGGAGGGCAAGGTCGGTGTCGGGATCGTCGGAATGCATGACCTCGTGGTCATTTCCGCACCCGACATGCCTGACGCCGTACATCCCCGCGAAGAAGGCTTCTCTTTCTGTGGACGGTAGAACGGTACCACGCTCAGCTGCAGGAGCAGCATCTTCAGCCTCTCGTACTTCTCGGCGTACTCGATCATTGTCCGTACGTCCGAAAGGGCTCTCCGCCCGGGCGCGAACCGAACGACGAGGGGTTTCCCTCGCTGGAGATACCGACCGGGCACGACGTCGAGTAGTTGCCACCTCGGCACGAATTCGGTTTCCGGCGTGAGGTTGCTCGGGAACAAAGTTGTCAATAGCAGCTGCGATCGTGGCACGGCTAGCACGGGCGCCGCGGTGTGGACCTGGGATGGGCCGTGGGACTGGCAAAGATTGGGAAGAGGAGCTTGCAGCGGGGAACCCAGCAGCGGGGGTGACCTCGTCGTCGCTTGACTCCTGGGAATCGCGGGGCGGAGGACTTCCAGGCTGGGAACCTCCCGGCTGAGCCTCGGTAGGCTCAGTCTGGTGGGCAGAGCCGCGCGGCAGACCGGCCATGGTACCCGAGTTCTCAGCGATGACCGTAGAGGCGGTCCGTCTCGCCCGGGGAGGAGTTGTAGGATCTTCATCGCTCATGAGGAGTGAACCCAGGCCCGTGGGAACTAGCGACTCAATGTATCAGTCTTCACCACGGAGACGCACTGTAGCCAACGGAGAGGGCAGGCAGAAGGAGACTAGTAACGGACGCTGCGGAAAGAGCGAATAGAGCGCTGAGAAGAGGGTTACTGTCTGCCGGGTGGACGAGAAAACCCCAATGCGTAGCTTCAAAACGTTGCTGTGCGCTCTGAAAAAAGGATAACGGGAGAAAGGATGGAAAGGATGGAAGCCCGTCTTTAAGCAGTCTGCAGTTGCTGACTAAGCGCACAGCCACACTGCGGCCGATCACGTCCTAGACCCGCTCCTGGACCTCCCGCAAGCTCCCGGTCAATCCGATGTGCGAGACATGTCCCAGAGCGTGTTCTCCAGTGGACTCTGGCTTTAACAGTGCTCGTCGCGCGTTCCTATTCACAACAAAAAACTCTTTTACTGCATATCGAATAGCAGCGCCGGCGAACACCCAGTCTGTCTACAATGTAATGTGCAGTGTCCGGTCTTATTGGAGAACGACGCGTCAGCGGAACATGTATCGCTGTTTAAGTGAAACATGTTCCCGAGGTCAGTGAAAGACCTTTCGCTGTCTAAGGAAAGGTCTTTCCAGACAGTGTTCTCCAGTGGACTCCGACCTCATGGGTACTTTAACAGTGCTCGTCGCGCGTTCCTATGCACAACAAGTGGTTCTTCTACCACATATCGCATAGCAGAGCTGGCGAACACCCAGTCTGTCTACAATACCTTACAGCAAAGTAGTTATCCTATACAAACATCAGTTATACAACCCGTGTGGAAGGTAGTTCACATCACATGGTAGCACCACTCGTTTTGAGCAAAACGAGCTTCCTAGTAGATAAACACGTTGGCAACTTCAGCATCTCGAAATTGCGGACGTAGCAATCGTCACAGAACGTAGATACGATCATTCTAGACGATTCAAATAGCTTTCAGGACGTCCAGGACAACGTCCACTGCAGCACCTGAAGCCCCTAGTGCGCTATAGTGGAAAAGCGCCGACCTCTAGGTTATTTACCTAGTGGAACGACCGATACGTCGCAACCACCTCACTTTTCGCACCTGGATGGTTAAACAAACCCCTGTAACTCACAGTTTGCCATCCATACCTTACTCTTTTGGTATATCAACATCTTGAGAGTATTCGTTCAACGGTCGACACGTAGTTGACATAAACGCGTGTTTACTAGTAGCCAATTAGTAACCCGTCCACGGATCGGAAATCTACCCCAGTAAATCGATCCCCTTCAAACTCGGAAACCTCGTAGAGTACCCTGAGCTTGAAGACTTGTGAAAGTTTCAAAGAGATTCGACCTACGGATACGGAGATATTGATAAACGTGCTAAATCGTTGCCACTATAACCTTGTGTAGCAAAACTATCACAGTTTTCACCGAAACAAGCCCTGATCAGGTTCTTCCCAATCTAGAGAATTACCTTGAATTTACCTGAACGTTTTGGGATTTTTGGATCACTGCAAAACGAGTTATCCATCATCGCCTTCGTCATTAATTCGATACTTAAGCGAAAACGGGCGGATAGGAAAAGTCTTTCAGTTTTGGGACAGAGCTAAGCCGTTAGGGTTCTTCTTGATCCTCTCAAAGGCCTCTTTAAACTGATAGCTGCAGATTCTTTCTAGGATCAACGCAGCCAAAACCCTCAGACATCGGACACGGTGGATTTTGGGGATTTTTCGCTCAAAAAGCGGGAAAATCTATGCCCGAATTTTGGCTATTGCATACGGCATATACCTGATTCGAGAACTTAGTTGTTTGTGGGTATTTGCTCGAGGTACTGAGCTATACAACATCAACGGAGTACTTCTGTCCGCATTCTGGACGTATTCGTCATTGTTTGAGGTTATTCGACCTGAAAACGAGATTACACTGACCAGAAGGTCGTCATGAGTACGTCAATGGGTAGTACAGTTACCAGGAGTGAGGACACTACTCCTGGGGGTACAGCTGTTATTACTGAGATCGTTGAGGAGCTGGAAACGTCGGTTGATGAACTTCGTGTTGAAGTTCGCCTTCCTCTTCCTCCTCGAACGACGGGACCTGTTCCGATGGAGGGCATCCAGATCGGTGGACCACCTCCACCTCCTCCTGTTCACCCGCCCGCTACGGCTTTGTTGACTATCTCCGTCGAGGAGCTCAATGCCCGAAAGAAGGCTGCTGCGGCTTCCGCTCGAGCAGAAGTTCGCGATCAACATGCCGAGGAACATCAGGCTCGACAGGATCGATTGCGAGCTACGTTGGAGCGTGACTCTGCAATGCGCCATCATGTGCTGCAGGATGGGTCGGTGGATCCGTTTCATATCGAGCAGCGTAGACACCATGTTACATGGATCTCGCAGCATCCATTTAATGGCAAACGGCGCGAGGCCACTCTTGTTGACACGTTTTTGCAGAACCATATGGACTTCATGTTTACTTTTGGTCTTCCGATTGACGACTTTAAGTACATGCAGAAGGTATCTAGCTCGCTTGAAGGCGAAGCACGTCCCTGGTTTGATACCGCATGCAGGCTTGACATGCGGAAAGAGGATTTTGAAACGGCTTTCAAGTTAGCCTTCTATCCTACGAACGCGAAAACAAACGCGCTCAATGCTCTGCACCGTATGACGTTTCATAAGTCGATGATTCATACGTAACAGAATTCAAACGTATCGTTGCCAAGGCACAGCGCAACCTGGAGGTTATTACCCCCGACGATTTGAATAACCTGTTTCTTCGTGGTCTTACTCGCGAGAAGACCAATACCGTCGGCTATGGGATCGCCCAGTCGTTGTTGCATACAATGGTCAATTATAGGGTGCAACACCCTCTGCTCGCATTTCCATTGATCCGTTTGATGGATCGTGCGCTGAGTTCGTTTGCTGTACGTAGTCTCGCCGATAAGGGAACCGACGCGAATGATAAAGCGGTTGCTTCTGGTAATAGTGCGCCTAAACGTGCTAATGTCTCTTCTGCCGCGGGAACTGCGGGCCAGAAGGGGGGGAAAGCTAAGAAGTGGAAGCTGCTAAACCTTACGCACGCCCGGACGTCTCGAACATGAAATGTTTCGATTGTGGTGAGATGGGTCATCGTGCGCGAGATTGTCCTAAAAAGAAGGATAAGAAGTCCAACGAGGTTAAGGATAAGCCGCGTTGGGACGCTGGTCAGAAAAAGGGTTTTCAGTAGAGACGTTTAATAAAGACACCGCTTGTTCGTCTCATTGTGCAATGGTGTCCATTGAAGAGGAACTTGAGGCTATACGCCCTGAGTCCGCTGATGGTATACTAGTTGATTGTAGCAATACGTCTGCTGCGGGGGCTCGCCTGTGCCGGCCAGACGACACTGAAACCGTTTTGAAGACTAGGCCTGAAGCACTGCAACTGCAACCTGATGCGTTGATCGCACGCTGTGCATTTGTAGTTCATGGCAAGTTGAATGGCAAGTTTTCGCATTCTGATCGATACAGGATGCACAACACTGATGGTACGTCAGGGATGGGTGTGGAAACATGGTTTCCAAACCTATACCCCTAAAATGCCCATTGATGTCGCCTGGGGCGACGACTGCCATACATTCAACGCCAACAAGTTATCTTGTGGCAATCTACAGTTATGGGGAGATGGACGACACTATTCCAGAGAACAGCTTCCATTTGTGGTTGCTCCTCTGCGGGTAGATGTTATTCTCTGATTGCCATGGATCTATATGCTTAACGATGTTCGTTTCGAGCACATAGAAGACGAGATTCCTGTTCTACGATTCCGTGCGGATGAAGTTGAACATACCCTGGTTGCCAGACCAGTGACTAGGAAGTGGGAATCCCAATCGTCCTGTAATGCGGTCGATCTGCGGTCCTTTGACATCAGAAAGAAGTCTATACGATTCAAGGTGACGATGCCTGAACAAGAAGACTCGAGTGCAGGGGTTGTCACTTATCAGAAGTTCACTCGCTTATCTCGAAAGAAGGTGTATGGGAAATGTTACATTGCGTACGCTATGGACATAGAAGCTGCAGTGAATGCGTTGTAGTAGTGCACTTCGAACTGCGCATGAAATTGATAATGTTTCGACGCCGATCATACGTCTAGAATCTTTGACGAGCAAATGAAATCACCTTTATACCACAACGTCAAAATACCGTCAAAACTTCCGAAAATAAATCGACACACTCGCATTCCCGACACTCCGACGATTACCAAATACAACTACCTTTACCGAAACCTTGCTTCACAACGACGTTTTGTCCTCGGATACGACTGACATGTGAAAAATGTAGGCGTAGGAGAGGATCTCACACATGAAAGCGCCCCGACCCGACTCTCAACCAACCAGAAGCTCCCACGATGCCCGAAACGCTGAAGAAATCAACTATGAAACAAGAAAACCAATGTCCGGTGGCGGTATACGCCGAACGTTGCAGAAAAACCCCGAGAGAATGCGATAAGACTGTATCAGCGCCAAAATTGGGAATGGAAAAAGGAAAAACAACGTAGACCGCCGCAGGAAAAGAGAACAAGACCCCGACGTAGCTAAATCCTGTAGAGATGATTAGTGGAGAGTTTGGACTTTGACAAAATCCCGTAGGCTAGAAAAATCCATATAAAAATCCGACTGTTTTCCCCAGACCTTTGTATGATACGCAGAACACAGATCCCGATCAACAACAGAGCTTTCTACTTCTCTATTCCCGACAACTTCTTTCAGTTTCAGATAGACTTTCAAGGCGCGTTCATAGACACCGAGAGCATACACAAGACGACCCCGAGTGTCGCGACTTGTACTTTGCTGACGTCGCCGAGGACTTGATAGTTCAGGAATCTTGTAAGAAGAGCTGAGAGTGAGATTGGATAACCCCGTTGTATTGTTTTGTAGTCAAACCCGCAGATATTCCCGATTTCGTATTTTGTACCTGTACCCGTAATTCCCGACCCCGTAAAAGAAGAAGGACTCCTTTCATAGCACCTGGATATTAAG